GTTGTCCCCAGATTGATACACGGTTTCAGGTGAAATTCCTTAAAAAAATCCCAGCACATATTTTTGCACATATAGACAAGATTATTCTAATATTTATATGGAAATCAAAAGAACTGGAATAACTAAAACAATTTTGAAAGGGAAGAATGAAGTGGGAGGAACCAGTCTACTTAATTTAAAACAAGACATCATACAGCTTATTCATCAACACTATGCACTGGTGGAAAGACAAACAGACACACCTATGGAACAGAACAGAGAAATCAGAAGCAGAGCCACATAAATATGCCCAACTGATTTTTGAGAAAGATAGAAAAGCAATTCAAAGAAGGGAGGATAGCCTTTTCAACAAATGGTGCTGAAACAATTCAACACCCATAGGCAAAAAAAAAGGAAGGAAGGAAGGGAGGAAGGGATGAGAAAGGAGGAAGGGAGGAAGGAAAGAAGAGGCAAAAAATAAGAAATTCAAGCTAAACTTCATTTTCATACAAAAATTAACTCAAAATGGATCATAGATTTTAAACACGAATTGTAAAACTATAAAAATTTCCAGGAGAGGGGCGCCTGGGTGGCTCAGTTGGTTAAGTGACTGCCTTTGGCTCAGGTCATGATCCCGGAGTCCCAGGATCAAGTCCTGCATTAGGCTCTGAGCTCAGCAGGGAGTCTGCTTCTCCTTCTGACTCTCTCCTCTCTCATCCTGTCTCTCCCTCTCTCAAATAAATAAATAAAATCTTAAAAAAACAAAACAAAACAAAAAAACCTTCCAGGAGAAAATACTCAAGTCCTAGGACTAGCCAAAAAATTCCTACAATTGACATAGAAAATAGAAACCATAGAAGGAAAGTTTGGTAAGTTGGACTTCATCAAAATTAAAAATGTTTGCTTTGTGGGCGCCTGGGTGGCTCAGTTGGTTAAGCGACTGCCTTCGGCTCAGGTCATGATCCTAGAGTCCCGGGATCAAGTCCCGCATCGGGCTCCCTGCTCGGCAGGGAGTCTGCTTCTCCCTCTGACCCTCCTCCCTCTCATGCTCTCTGTCTCTCATTCTCTCTGTCTCAAATGAATAAATAAAATCTTTAAAAAAAAAATGTTTGCTTTGTGAAAGACCCCACAAAAAGGGTGAAAAGGCAAGCTACAGATTGAGAGAAAATATTTACAAACCACATATCCACCAGAGGGTTATTAACTAGATATACAAAGAACTCTCAAGTTTCAACACTAACAAAAATTAGTGGCAAAAGACATGAACAAACATTTCATTAAAAAGGATATATAGATGCCAAAAAAAACTAAGCATAGGACTTTGCAATTGTACTCCTGAGCATTTATCACAAAGAAATGGAAACTTTATGTTCATGCAAAAACTGGTATATGAATGTTCATAGCAGCTTTATTCATAAGAGCCCAAACTAGAAACAACTGTATGTCTGCAGTGGGTGAGCAATATGGTACATTTGTTTTATGGAATACTATTTAGCAATAAAAAGGAACAAACCCTTGATATACACAACAATCTGGATGAATCTTTAGAGAATTATGCTGAGTAGGAAAAACTAGTCCCCAGAGGTTACGTAGTCTGTGATTCCATTTACATAACATTCCTGAAATGACAAAATTATAGATTTGGTAATATATTAGTGATTGCTAGGGGTTAAAGACAGCATGGTAGGGGGAAGATTGGTTGTAGTTATAAAAGGGCCACATAGTGGAGCCTTGTGGTAATAGAAATGTGTATTGTATACACTTGTTTACCAAGTATATATTTTGTATACATTGTATAATATGTGATACAATGATATTGTATCAATAAGGGAGCAGAATTATAACTATTCTGTATCTTGACTGTGTCAATATTAGTAGTGATATGGTATAATACTTTTTTTAAAGATATTATTTTTAAGTAATCTCTATACCCAACGTGGGGCTCAAACTTAAAACCCTGAGATCAAGTCAAACACTCTACCGACGGAGTCAGCCAGGCACCACATGTACGATACTTTTTTAAGTATAGGTTTGTAATATGTTACCGTTGGGTAATATGAGGGAAAAAGGTACATGAGAGCTGTCTGAATTCTTACAACTACCTGTGAATCTACAATTATTTAAAGATAAAAAACTTAAAGAGAAGGCAATGCAACTTCTGTCTGGCTCTTTCTGTTGGGTCATACTCATTTGGAACCCAACCTCTATGATGTGAAGAAGCCAGTCGGCAACATAGGCCATGTGTAGGTGGTTGGGCAGATAGCCGTAGCTGAATTCCCAGATGACAGCCAGCATCGGGCACTAGATGTGAATGAGCAAGCCTGCACATGATTCCAGCCCTCAGCCATCCCTCAAGCTGCCTTGAGCTATGTGTGGAGCAGAGACTAGCTGTCCTCATTAAGCCCTCACCAAATTGCAGATTCATGTGCAAAATAAATGCTTGTTGCTGTTTTCAGCCACTAATTTTAGGGTAGTTGATAAGAGCAATAGGTAACTGGAAAAAATGAACATTCCACAGAAAAAGAGAATGCCCTTTTCATTGAAACTTAGTGTTAAGTTATGATGGCACTTTTTGGAGTATCATCAGATTATACCTTTAAACAGTTCAGACTGGCTTCATTCCAATCAGTCTCACTTAGTGAGGTTTTATTATAGCTGCCGTATTCCAAATTACAAATTGGGCACCTCACTTGGTTAAAGATTAGTCTGCCACTTGGAAACAGGAGGCAATTAGGGAGACATAGTTTGGATACTAAAATAAAATGTCTGAGGTTTTCAGGGGTTTATGATACAGATTATTTGAAATTAGATTGTCTTGGGAGATCTGAGAAATGTATAAATGAATACATTACTATTATTGTTGACATATAATTATAAATTATGATTGCCAAGTGGGTTGTTATAAATTACAACTCAAAATAGCTTATCAAAAATACACATATCCTATAACTATAATTAATGACTAATGTCAAGTCATCTATATATTCACTTCTTCTTACAAATGAATCAGTTTGTATATATACAAACCCTCTCTTGTGTCATTAGGCATTTTTGTTCTGTTGTAATACACTGCCATATTTTGCATGGCAGATACCAGAAGACCAGACACAGAATCAAGCTGGACATAGGTAAGAGCCAGTTTCTTCCTACTTCCTATTCATCTTTCAAATGGCCGGTGTAACATTTTTTCACAGCCCTCTCATCTGGTTTAGGCATTTTCCGCTTGAGAATTTCTGCTTGAGCTGGTCAGACTCTGTTTTCTCCCTGGAACTTCCAGCATTCCTTAAAGCAATACTGACAGTTCTGGGTCTATACTTACCCAGACCACAAGAAATCTTCCAGAGTCTTCATACTCGTGGTCTTACGACTGGAAATAAAAATAGCTCAGTAAAGCTTTAGATTACCTTTTCTTGACTTCAACTTTTGTTGTTGCAAAATACCTTTGCCTCATGTTCTGCCTTCCCTTGTTTCACATGGAGGCTCTTTCACATTGCCACATAACTTGTTTCTTACCGCACCACCTCCCTGTCATGGATGGAATAGGCTTTTTTTTTTTTGGTGGGGGGGAGCCCAACCAAGTTTTGAATACCAATTTCGCCTCTGGCTAAATATGTAACCTAGAGCAAATTGTTTAAATTCCCTAAGTCTCATCATTTGAAAAATAAGAATAATAATGGCTCTTGGTAGGATAAATTGAGATCTCCTTTATTCCTTTCCCCTTTGTCCTCCAAACCCTGAAATTTGATGTTTTAATGAAGGTATTGATTGAATCGGGTTGGGAGGCTGGCCTTTGGGAGAAACTAACTGGAATCTTTAGAAGTCATGCTAGGGAGACTATTGGGCAAGGGCACCATTAGGAACAAAGCTCCGAGGTAGCCTCGATCCTAGTGCTTTTTGGAGGCTGGAAGAAGAACATTTCTGATATTTTTCTTTTGCTTTGTGTTTAGAACCCCGTGAGGGGGAAGGCAAGGTCAGAGGGATGAAGAAGATATAGGTAATACTAACCACAGAAGAAAGGATGGCTGTGGGAAAGCAAATCTTTCACAGCAAAAAAGTTTATGATATTATGAGAGAAAACGATTATTTCAAAGAGACCCCAGTCCCTAACCCATATACTGTTTTTATTTTTCTATATCCTATCCTGCATCATCTTCATCATATGAATTCATGTGTGTCGTTGCAACCTCAACAAAACGAAGTCTGTGTTCTCTGGCAAAATTAACACTAAATCCTGATGTTAATCTGCCCTTCTAGATTATTTTCCGTGCTAACTAGTGACTGCGAAAATAACCAAGTCTAGCTTGTGTTTGTCCTAGTGTTATTTCGTTCATAGAAACCCTGCAGAATAAATCGAGTTAGCCCGTATCTTCTGGACTGTAGTAGTCTTGACGCAGGCCAGGAAAAACACATTTGCGCTCCACATGGACGACACAGACCCATCATGCACCAAATTGCTTAATCCCTTTGCACTGGGTCTCACTAGCAAAGGGTAGAGTCGAGCCGTATGGTGTGTGGCCGTTGGCCCGCGCGCGTCGCCTCGGGCCAGCAGGGGGCGTGCGAGCTCCGGGGCACCGGCCCCCGGCGCCAGGGGCGTGGCTCCGCCTCCTTGACGGACCTCGAAGGATGTGCGAGCGAAGATGAGGTAATAGGAGCCCGAGCAGGGAGGGCGTGGGGGTGCGGGCGCGTGTGTACGAGAGTGTGAGTGTGAGTGCGTGCGCGAGCCGGAGACCTGGCCCCGCGGACAGCGATCATGCTGAATTAAAAAAAGAAAGGAAGAAAATTCCATTTCTGGGAGGGAGGCTGCAAAGCGGGGGCGGGCGACAGCTGCGGTCCCGGGGCCGCGTCACGGCCTGCCGCTTTGGGGCGCCTGGGGGCGGGGGAAGCCCCCGCAGGCGCGGGTTTGCCTTAGCGCCCAGCTCGGGAGGGGCGCTCCATTCTGGAGGCGACTGAGCAGAGCCGCAGGGAGGGGGAGCTCTCGCCGGGGCGGCCACTGGGTGGGCAGGGAGGGGCGGGCGGGGAGGGGGCCCGGCGTGCCTTTCCGAGCGCGAGCGCGCGGCGAGGTCCCACCCCGGCGTCTGCGGAGCCCGCGGCGCAACTGGTGCGAGGGCTCGGGGCTCGGGGCCCGCCTCGCCGGCCGCCCAGCTCCGGCCGCGCGCCCGCCCGGGCTTTGCAAGGCGGGGGCCTGTCTGCGGAGAGCCGGGCACTTGCATGAAGCCGCTGGACCCCACGCAGCAGCGGCGGCAGCGGCGGCAGCGGCGGACCCCGGCGGCGGCGCGCGGTCGGAGCCGGGCGGCCCGGGTGTCCGGGCCCCGGTGGATGCGCGGCTGGGGAGCGGCCCATGGGCCGGAGCTGAGGCTGCCGGGGGCGGCGCGGCGCGGCGCGGGGGGCGCGGCCGAGGCCCGCGGGCGGCGGCGCAGGAGGAAGCGGAGGAGGACCGGCGCGCGGGGCCCGGGAGGCAGGCAGCGCAGCGCCGCCGCCGCCGCCGCCGCCGCCGCAGCCCGGGGCTCGCCATGCTCGTGGCCTCGGCCGTGGTGGTCTGGGAATGGCTGAACGAGCACGGCCGCTGGCGTCCCTACAGCCCGGCCGTGAGCCACCACATTGAGGCGGTGGTCCGCGCCGGTCCCCGCGCCGGGGGCAGCGTGGTGCTGGGCCAGGTGGACAGCCGTCTCGCGCCCTACATCATCGACCTGCAGTCCATGAACCAGTTCCGCCAGGACACGGGTGAGCCGGCGCCCCTGCCCCGCCCGCGCCCCCTCCCCTCCCCTCCCCGCCCTGGGATCTCCCGCCTCGAGAGCCCACCGGGACCCACCCATCCGCAACTCCGTGCGGTGTGTCACCGGGAGGTGGTTGTGGAGGGGGCGCTTTACTCCCCACCATCCTCTTAAGATCCCCCTGCAATAAATGTCCATGCAAGTAATATCAGTGTCCTGAATATGCAAATGGAGCTTCCAGCGAGCCCTACCCCCCCTTCCGCGCCCCCTTTTAAGCGCTCGGTGACCCCAAGTTCTGCCATGTAGAAATTCGAGGGCCCGCCCAGCCCACAAGCAATCCCGGCCGCTGGGAAAGGCTTCCTGCTCTCATCCTCACACCTTGGCTGGCCCCGCTTTGCCTCAGGCACCCTTGGGACTGACACACGTCCCCCTCGTCACCCACTTTACTGCCTCCGCCCCTTCCGTGTGGGATGCCTTCTCACAGCTGGGTCCTCGGGGTGGGACCCGGGGAGAGAAGAAGGGATTCCCCGGGGACATTCGCGGTGCTCTAGCATGGGAAGGGCGGTCGCCCTGGGAGGGGAGCCTGGAGCTAGGGGATTCCAGGGCATAGCACGCCCTGGATGCTGTGGCGTTGGCCGGTGCCGAAGCAACAGGCCAGAGCAGATGGGGAGCGGGGGGGGGGGGGGGGGCGACTCCGGAATGCCTGGCAGGGAAGCCGCTCTCTTTGTCCGTGGAGGAGGAGGAGGAGGTGGATTCCTAAGGAGAAAGGGTCCCCAAGCTTCCTCCTGAAACTGTCCCCAGCACTAAACCCCTGTCTTTTTATGGGAATCAAGTTGCCACTGTGGCCACCACAATCCCGCTTCCTTGTTTTCCAGGTCAGAGCAAGGCGAAAAGGCTGCAGGGAGAGGTGGGGGGGTGGTCACCGGCGGGGCAGAGCGGCTTGTCTTTGCTCAGCGCAGGGTGTCCAGGCTTAATTGAGGACCTGGGACCAGTCTGCCTCTCCAGGAGTCTCTTCACAGGGGTGGGAGGTTGTTTCTGGAATTCTGGCGGCGCTTTCCCAAGAGTGTGACCCGGGAGCCTGGAGAAGCAGGTGTGGTGGGGAGGAGCTAGAGAGGATGACCCGGGGAGTCCCAGAGGATCGAGAACAGCTGCTTGAGCAGGGCATCCCAGCCTCCTTGGAAAGCCCCCACATCCTGTGTGCTAATTAGGATTGTCATGGGAAAGGGACGTCTTTCCACCCTCATGTCCCCATCTTTAGTCATAACTCCCAAAAGCCTCTTTGCCAGGGACTTTGCAGATACTGGCCAGCTGAGTAAAGCTTTCTGGGGGGAAGGATTCCAGAAGTGTTAGCATCTGGAGGGGCTTAAACCCTAGTGGGAAAGGGAGGGTGGTGGAGCTGAGAGAGACCAGGGGGAGGAGGGAATGAGGAGGAATGTGGGGAGATTGAGAAAGAGGATTAAGTGTGGCTAGGGGGAGGGGGAGAATGTAATTGGGCAATTGGGGTAAAGGTTGTGGAGGTGAGGGTGCAGGCAGCAGATGGGGGGGGGGGGCGGTGGTTGCTGAGCCCTGGAGGTGGGACCGGGGAGGACTAGCAGTTAAGACACCTGACCGGGCATTTCAGTCCTGCTCAGAATAAACAGGCAGGTGTTCACTTTTCTGTTTCAGACTAGATCTCTGCAGCATATGGAGAAACACCCTGGTGACATAAAGGTCCCAGCCCCTGTCCCACATTTGGGAGGGGGTGAAGTTTAATCAGTGTTTAGGGGTGTCTAAGACAGAGATGAAGCGTGCCCTTTCGACAGAGGTGAAGTTACAGAGAAAACGGGGTTGAGGGACGGAATCTATATCCCCCCCCTCCTCCCCCCACCCCGCCCAGGTCTGACCACGAGGACAGGCTGACTACGCCTGGTGGCTCCTCAGACTGGAGACTGGAGGCAGAGAGCTAGCCCTGCATCATTTTAAAGACTGCCTCGGGGTCTGTTTTACATTCCAGTCTGTCTTAGAGGCGCACGACTCAGACCGCTTTAGATTTCATCCACTCATTCTAGTTAGTGGTCAGTGGGTGAGTGGGTACTGAGCGCCTTTCTCCTAGTGCCAAGCCCTGAGCTGGATGCCGAAGGCACTGGGCTGAATTCCCAGGAATGCTGGGCTGTCAAGGAGCTTGTCAAAGCAGAATAGAATCTCTGGGTTTCTGGGCTCGGAGCCCCCTCCTCCCCCTTCTCTGCCAACAGACACTCAGTTCCTCTCAATATAGCTCATTGATGAGGCCATGACAGGGTAGGAACTTTATACTGCCGGCGCCCAGGCAACCTCAGCCAAGCCCTGGCAATGTTTAATTAAATTACCCGCCATCCCCAAGCCACAGTTTGAAGCTGGGAACCAGAAACATCCCCACAAACAAAGGAGAGCTGGAAGTCCCCTGCCTAGAGGCGAGTCCTCTCTTTTTTTGTTGCCTCCTCTATGTGGGGACATTTCCTGACATGGGAGCTCTGTTTTTTCAGAAGTTGCCTGCCCTGCCGGGAGGGAGGCCTCAGACTCTCAGCTCCCCTGGGCTCCCGCCTCGCCCACCCTGTCTCCAGGGAGATGGCTGGGAGGTCACAGATACCCTCTGTCGCCTTTGTTTGCCCTGGGCCCTTCCTCCCCACACCGACTCTGGGTTTGAGCTTATTTGCACTCTGTGCTGGTCTCCGCGAGTGTTTTGGGCTAGGGAATCTGGAAGAAGGGAGGAGATGGGGCGGTGGAGGGGATGGTCTTGGCTGCTTCCAGAGCCTTGGTTGGGTCCTGTCCATGTTTGGTCATTTATCTTGACTGGACTCACCTTTTCTGTCCCAGGGCAGTGACTGGAGTGCTGTCCTTCAGCGTCCCAGCCCCTTGTATCTTCCAGGACATCTGATGGCCACCACCTCCAGGGTTCCAGCAGTGGGACGTGGGGAGCCCCAGGCTGGGAGTGGGGAAACAGGACTCAGGCTCTCACCCCAGACTCATCGGCTTCCTGTGTGACCTTGGACAAGTCCCTTAGCTGCTCAGGCCTCATTTTTCTCTGTGGAACAAAGAGCAGCCTTGAGAGTCCTCTGGTTCCTGTCCTGTCATCATGCAGTTGGGCAGGTGAATGGGTTTGGTCTCTGCACCAGTGAGGGTGCTGCTTAGAAGTGGCCTGGTGCGACGCAGAGCCCTTTCCAGCTCACAGTTTTCTCTGCAACTTTTGCCTCTTTTATGTCTTTAATATGGTGAGAAAGGTCAGATGGCGAGAGATGAACGGTTTGACAGAAGCCGATTTTTAGGTCCCCACAGGGTACTCTGCCCTGTGTGAGCACAGGGGTGGAGGAGGCAAGTGTCATGAGGCCCACGTGGTCGTGACAGTGTGGGGGATGCTCCAGGCCCCTTGCACACTTTGTCTTGTTTAGTCCTCACATCGATCTTAGGAAGGGCAACAATCTGGAAGAGATTAAGTTGCTCGAGGTTTTACAGCTAGTCAAAGGCAGAGCTGAGATGACAAATCAAGTGTCGCACGCTCTACTCCGTCATCGGTGAACACTTCCGGGGCGCAGGCACTGTTCCAGGCACGTGGGATACCCCAGTAGCAGAACATCTGGGACTTTGCCCTCCTGGGACATTCCAGTGGGGCTGAGGGGCGCTTTGGAGAGGCCCGGAATTTCTCTGACACAGTGATGCGCGGATGTAATGTGCCCTTGAGACAGGGTCATGCCTGGAAGGCGTTTCTCCCATTTCCCAGGAGCCAAAACATCTCAGGTGCTTTGGAATGCAGGTGTCTGAGTTGCCAGGAAAAACTGATTTTCTTTCTCTTGTTCCCTGCTGAGTTTATGAACATTCTTTATTCCTATCCCATTAGAGGCCTTTTCTTTGGGTCACTGCACCCAAGGACTAAATGGATTCCTCAGATCATCTAGTTCATGGTCCTGCGTTTAGAGGAGGCCAGGACTAGCCAGCACATTCCAGATTACGGTGGTCTCTGAAAATAATCAGAGAAGTGAAATCCCCCAGTGACATTCTTTTGTCCCACAGCTTTGGTTCTGAGGTCTGCCTTCTGTCTCTAACTAACCTGCTGGGGCTGAATGAACTCAGCGCCTTTCCCTCCAAAAACCAGCTCTTCCTCATGACACTGCTCTGCCTGCAAATCGTGCCACCATTTACCACTTGCCCATCGTCAAGACCTCAGGATTCTTCGACTCTGTCGTTCGGAGTCTCTTTCGGGTGCCCAGTGTGTCGAGGCACATGGACCATGTGGCCCAGCTGTTAAAATTGGCGTGCATGATGAAAATCCAGGGCGGTTATTCACATGCAGATTCCTAGGCCCAGGCCCCGGAGAGGCTGATGATTCCTCCTAGTGGCCAGTGGGTACTCTAGAAGGTGTTGCTCATCCATACCCCAGGAGATTCGGAAGCAGGTGATCCTGGAACCTCTCTGGGAAAGCATTCAGCTACTCGAGGTCAAGTCCTACCCACTTCTCTGTAGGGTCCCTCCAGTCTGTCACCTCCTTTTCATGTTCACTGCCAGGACCCTCATTACTTCTCACGTGGAACTAATTAACAGAGCATCTCTGGTCCTGTCACTTCTCTGTGTCACAGACTTCACTGGCTCCTCGTTGCCTACAAATAAAACCCGTCACAGCCTGGCGTTCCAGACCGTCTATGCTTTGGCTCTAACCTAACTTTCCAGGTTTCTCTTCCACTCTGCCTTATATTTTCCCCTACTCCTGATAAATTGATGTCCTTTTTATCCTCATGTATCCCCTTAGAGTTCTCTGACACCCCGTCCCCCCAACTATTCACAAAGCCCCTTCTACTGAGATGCCCCTTTCGCCTATTGAAATTGTCCTTCTCATTCAAGCCTTACGATACTTGTCATCCCATTTCTGGAAATGTTCTCCCACCCATCATTCCTTCATTTATTCAGTCAGTATTTATGGAGCTCCTAGGACATGTCAGGCACCGGGAATACAACCGTGAGCAAACCCCCCGGATACCCGCTCGGCAGGACTGGAGAGAGACAGACATTCACCAAATTAATCACACCAAGAAATGTGTGACTGCACATCAAGATAAATGCTGTAAAGAAAAAAAAATAGGAGTGGGAATCCCATCTGGGCAGGGCAGCCCAGAGAAGTTTCCTTGAAGAAATGAGCTGAACTCTGAAGGATGAGCAGCAAAGAGGAATGCCAGAGTGTTTGGGGGAGGGACCAGCCTTGTGAAAAGGCCCAGAGAGGAGAAACATGGCGGGGGGGGGGGGGGGGGGGGACTTGAAGAGGCCAGTGTGGCACCTAAGTCCAGAGCTTATTAGGGCATGAGTTGGGCCCGCAGAGATTGGGGCTGGGAGGGTCAGGTCCTGACCTAAGGGGAGGTCGCGGAAGGGGTTTAAGCCCGGAGGGGATGTGGGCGAATTTTCTCAGGCACCTGCGTTTTGTTGGCACCCTTCTTCTGGCATATTCTGCTTCATCAATAGTCATTCGCACACTCGTCTAGTTTTAGATTATAAGCTATTTGAGTAGTGTCCGAATTGCTCAGAGCAGTGGGTTCTCAGCAACATGGGATAAATGATTAAAAAGTAGCCGAAGTCTTCAGTCAATCACAGCATGTTTATGGAGCCCTCGTGAGTGCCATGCACCGCCCTAGGGCACAGAGCTAGATGGTGGTGTCTGTGCCTCCACTTAAGGCCCGTATGAAGAATGCCGAGCCCCCGGTACACACCAGGCAGGCATACGCAGATACACACCCCCGACCTCCTGAGGCGGGGGGCCTGGACTGGGAGAACATTTCAGGAAATGGGTGGCAAATGGCATAGGACCAGAATGAGGACAACTTCAATAGGTAAAAATGGCAAAGGAGGGCACCTGGGTGGGGGGAGCCCTGGCGAATAGTAGGTGAGGGAGTGCAGGAGGATAAAAGGGCATCTGTCTGCTGGGAGTAGAGGAAGAGACAGGCATGGGGGAGCTAGACCTGGGAGAGCCACAGCTAGCTTCCAGAAGTTCTGCGGCAGCTCTCCAGCGTCTCTGGGATTGATCCCACTGTTGTAAAAAATGCCTCTTGAGGACATTGGGGAGCACTGGACAAGTGCATTTCCCCTGCCACCCTGGAGAGAATATAAAATAGGGTCATTTAAGCTCTCTAAACTTAATCTCCTCATTTCTAAAAGGTGTTTCTTAGGATTGCCATGAAGATCATATGGGATGAGTTAGGTGCCTTCCAAATAATAAAGATTGTATAAGGAGTTATATATAATCTCTCTCTTACACACACAGACACACACACACATACCCCACACCCTCTGAACTAAACTTTCCCTGTGACTCCTCCATCCTGCTTAGACATATAATAGAAAGTAAATTACAATGATAATCAACCAACTTTTATTGAGCTCTTGCCCCATGGCAGGTGTTATTTTAGCGCTTTATATTCATTCCTTCCTTTAATCCTCAAATCCACCCTTTGAAGTCGCTACCCGGCCCAAGCAGAGGAGGAAACTGAGGCTTAATCACAGAGCTGGAAGGGACAGAGCCTCCACTGTTGGACCCAAAGCCAGCACCCCTGGATCGACCTCACTTCCATCGGCTTTGCTCCCCAGCAAGCTGGCTATTTAGGAAGGAAATGGAGGCAAACCAGGGTACTCCTGCCCATTCCCCCCCTCTTCCTCCTCTCTTCCTCCCATCCCGCCCCCCCCCGCCTCCAGGTCCCCCAGCAGAGGTCCTGGTGCTGAATGGGGGATTGTTTTGCTTCTCCCTCCTGCCTCTGAATGTTGATGTTTTGGGTCATTAAGGGGCTCGGAGTTGGGGTGGGGGGTGGGTTATGACCCTGGCAAAGGCCTGAATAGCCATTGTTCCTTTTCTTCCCCCCTTGAATGGAATTCTGTCCCTGGTCTTGGTGTCTCCCTCTGGGTTGGAGGAGGGGGTGGGTCAGGGGCCGGCGAAGGGGAGCCTTTTCCCACCACTTTGATGGATAGAGCTTAAGCTGACAGATGCGAGATTCAAGCACCCTTGGAGCTGTCCCAGGCCCCCTCACCCTGCCTTGACCCTGGCATCTTCAGCCTTGATGTTGATACCCATGAAATGAGCCCTGATTGGGCGTGAGTCTGAATCCAGGTTTGGGGTGGGTAGGGGAGGAAGAGGCAAGAGTTACAGACCTAGTTTCCCTCCAGTGCTGCAGGCTCATTTCTGCTCTGCAGCTTCCCTGCACTAGCCCTGGCCCCCCTTCCCTGCCCCCCTCCCCCCGTGAGACCGAAAATGAAGACAATCCTATCTTTAGGAGGGTTTGGGCTTTTGAAAGAAAGATGTTAGAGAAACAGAAAATTATTATGATCATTATTACTGCTTTGATACACGATTGAAAGCTCGCAAGTGTTAAGAGAGTTCTCTCAACCTGATTTTCTATTTTTGTTTTTACTGCACCCTTAAAGGGACAGGGAGCGGGATCTCTAGCTCCACCGCTGGGGGGCTGCCTTCCTGGAGACAGTCTTCTTCCTCTGCCCTCTAGGCTTCCGTGACCCTTTGTTCTTTCTCTTCATAGCCCTCCAGGCAGGGGCATTTAGAGAGTAGGGGAGAAGTGATATGATACTTATGAGCACCTACTCTGTGTTGAGGGCTTTAGGTGCCTTAGTGCAAATTTCAGGGTGCAGGAGAGATCCAGAACCTGGCATATACAGATACATATTTGTCGAATGAATAAGTGGGTCACATTTAATTTTCACAGAAGTTCTGCGAAGGACTCACTGTTTCTCAGGGGAGGGAAGGAGGTTGGGGAGTTCTACATAAACTCGGAAGTGAATCAGTCTGGCCGCAGACCAAGGTCTCCCGACTAAGAAGGGGCAGGTGCTCTTTGTGGTACCCCGCACGGCCCCACACCCTTCACACTGCCACCGAGCTGAGCGGCTCCCACCCCGGGCCTCCGCACAGTCCTCGAGGCAGGAAGGGTCTCGTTCAAAGCTGATACCTCAGCAGGCAGCCTAGGGCCCGCCCACAGCGGGACCGGCTCCCGTTTGCCTCTGAAGGGAACACAGTCCAGTTTCATTGCTTGCTGACCCTGACCCTGTCCTCCGTCCCACTGTGGCAGGGACCCTCCGCCCGGTTCGCCGCAACTACTACGACCCGGCCTCGGCCCCCGGCAAGGGCGTGGTGTGGGAGTGGGAGAACGACAACGGTTCTTGGACGCCCTATGACATGGAAGTGGGCATCACCATCCAGCACGCCTATGAGAAGCAGCACCCCTGGATCGACCTCACTTCCATCGGCTTCAGCTACGTCATCGACTTCAGCACCATGGGCCAGATCAACCGGCAGACCCAGCGCCAACGCCGCGTCCGCCGGCGCCTGGATCTCATCTACCCCATGGTCACCGGCACCCTGCCCAGGGCCCAGTCCTGGCCGGCCAGCCCCGCGTCGGCCGCCTCGCCCGCGGCCCCGCCCTGCTCCTGCCCGCAGTGCGTTCTGGTGATGAGCATCAAGGCGGCCGTGGCCGACGGGGGCACCGGGCCCCTGCAGCCCCCAGCGGCCCGCAAGAGCATGCCCCCACCTGGAGCGCTCAAGCTGCCCCCGCCGCCAGGTCCCGGGGCCAAGCCACTGGACAGCACGGGCACCGTCCGAGCGCCGGGGAAGACTGTCGCATCGCAGGCGATCCGGCGACAGGCCTCCAGCGCGCCGGCAGGGGTGACGGCGGGCTCTCCCGCCAGTCCCCCCGGAGCCAACGGCAAGACCGGAAGGGTGGCCCTGGCGACCTTAAATCGGACCAGCCTGCAGCGACTGGCCATTGCCCAGTCCCGGGTGCTGATCGCCTCTGGGTAGGTACTTCCAAGGCTGCCTCTGAGCATTTCCATCAAGGAAGGGCATAGGACCCGACTGAGCTGGGCCAGAGATGAAAGAGGGGCTGCCCAGACTTAAGCTCCCTGTCGTCTTGTCCTGACCCTCTGGTTGTGGGTGGAAGGCAGCATGGTGTGGTGGCTAAGGGTGGGCTTGGCCTCTGGGGTCCGTCAGAGCTTTGCCATAGCCATGTGATTTGGGACAGAGCCCTAACATCCCAGAGTCCTGACTTCCTCCTGTGTAAATGCCGGTGATAATCCCCATGTTAGGCTAGCTGCTGAGGGTTCAAGGTTACACACACCATGCCCTAACAGGCAGTACTAAATGGGCTCCCACCAGGATCTATCTGGTGGGAGCTTTATCACCTCATTTAAGCAAGTAGGCATTTCGATCCCATTTTACCCATGAAGAAATCAGAGGTTCTCTTGCTCAAAGGCTCGGAGCAATCATTGGCTAAGGCCAAGATTCAAACTTCGGGAAGTCTGACGTCAGGGCCAGACTATTCTGACTCGGCCGTGCTGCTTCTCTGTAGGCACCCACCACAGTGCCCGACACACAGTAGGTGCCACGTGAGGTCAGCCCCTTTCCTTGGTCTCTCTGGAGACTGGAGGGGTAACTCCAGATTGGAATTAACAGCGCATATTTAGCGAGTACTTACTATGTGTGCCAGGCACCTTCTGTGCGTCGTCTCAGGACTTCCTGTGACAGCCTGGTGTTGCTGTGGGTTCTGTGATCACTGTTTTTTATGATCTTCTTGGTCTTCCCAATCTTCAAATGGGAGATACCCAGGTCCATGTGGTGCCCACAGCCTTTGCCTTGCCAGCTCCTGATTTCTGGTGAGATGGGTCTCTCACAACGGCCTACTCTTCCTTTCTCCAGAAGGGCCTGACCCCACCTGTGACCGCTGAACCCCAGGCGGTCAGGGCGGTTTGCAGTGAGGTTGAACCCCTGAGTGTGAAATTCAGGCTGCCCAGAGGAGGCTGTCTGCACACAGAGGCTCAGCAGTGGGAGGAAAGAGGAGGAGGGTGTGCTGCAGAAGGAGAGGCCCAGCCTTCACTCCGGCCTCTGCCACTAAACGAAGCCACAGAGCCTCTGCAAGGTCCAGTTTCCTTGTGCATGAAATGGGGATCATCAGGCTCGCCTTGCCCGCCCCATGGAGTCATTGTGGAAACCTCCACAAAGGGAGTTCATCCCTTGAGAGCTTACCAGATGCACTCTCCAGTGTTACCTCATTCCCTGGCCCTGTGTCAGGCATGGGCACCAGCTCAGAATTAACTTTCCAAGGAGGGCCACACGGCTCAGGTGTCATAGAGTGGGGGTTGGAGCCCAGGGTTTATTCCCCTCGTCCTCTGCCCTATTGGCTAAAGCTCAGCTCCTCGCTGTATGTGAAGGCAATTTATAAATGGTAAAGTGCTGGTCAGATGCATGGGATTTTCCTATGACTACTTCTGAGCTGGCAGAATATTTGGGAGAGGGGAATGGGCACCTGAACCACACCACTGCTCTCTTTCTTCCCCAGGTCAGCCAGCAGCCTCCTGGGGGCCTCTGACAGAGTTCTGGGGTAATTATTTGTGTGGCAGAGGGAGGCTCGGATAGTGGACAAAAAACACAGCCTCCAGAGCCTGACAACCCAGGCGGGGAACTCAAGTACCTTGGTGTGTAACTTGGGGCAGATTATGCACCCTCAGTCTTCAGTTTGTTCATCTGTAAAATGGGAGAGTAATAGTACCTTCCTTCCCAGGGCTGTCACGAGAACTGAATGAAATACTCCGTGTCTAGATTTAGCACAATGTGTGGCACCTAAGAAGGGTTTGGTCAGTATTAGCTGCTCTTATTCACCTGTGTCTATTGAAAGTCGCTGAACTGAAGTCAGAGCTGAGCAGAGTCTGATGCCCCACCTCATTGCTGGCGCCCTTGGCAAATGCCAAGTGACCTCACGCCATAACTGAGGGGAAGGACTCCCAGATCACTTTAAATCTCACCCAGGGAGCCAGCCGGCAGCTCTTCATCTCTCCGCTTTATTCCCCCTGCCTGCCAGTGGAATTGGAGCGAGAGAATGGCGCGGAGGTCCGGGCAGCGCCCCCCTTCAAAAGGGCTATAGAAACGAGCTTTTTTCTCTGCTCTGTTTTCCTGACAGGGGAGGCCCCGCCCTACCCCTCTATCTTCCAGCCCTTTCCTTTTTCTACCTCTTACCACCACCCTCACCCCCACCACCACCTTCTCCTCCAGTCTTTCTTGGCCATTTAATTAGCGTGCTTGTCCCCTTTGTGCGGCACTGCCATCGACCTTCTGTCGTGGACTGGCCCCTTCCCCTCCTCTCCCTGTCCGCGAGCTCTTCAAGCAACTTTCCCACGGAAAAAAGGAAGACCAGGGAGGGCGGGAGAGGTGGGCTGAGGAGAAGTGTTTGCGGGGAACAAAAGACCCTGTGAATTATTCAGAGACACAAGCAGGGGGTTTCTAAAGAGACGAGAGGGGGGCTGCGGAGTGGCCCCTCTGGCCCTCTCCTCCAGAACTGAGGCTTCTCTATCTCTGGCGAGACTTCGGTTGCTGGAGAGACAAGACCGTTGTCCGGCCTGAGGATTCCTGGGTCGGCTCACAACTCCCCAGAAAACCCCCACTCCTTCTCACCATGGTATCTGCAGAGCTTTTCTCCTGCTGTCGGCCCCCTCCTTCTGCCACCTTGCCAGCTCTTCTCTTTTCTTAGTTCTGTGCTTGAGGGACAGAAATGGAAACTGAGAACAGCCCGGCGGCATGGGGGAGGGAGTCTTCTGATGGTTAGGCCAGACGGCTTTGGCTGAGCCGAGTTGCCGGGAGGATGTGAGCCACATGCCAGTCATTGCGTTGCTGATTTCTGGAAGGAGGGCTCAGGCATGACAGCTGGGGCGCCCGCAGGGTGCCACCGGTGGGGACGACATGGGCCACCTCCCTGGTTTCCATTTTAACCAGTCACCACCGTGGGGGAGGAGCTGATCAGGTAAGGCCAACTCAACAATCCTAAGCATTGCCCCCCTCTCAACCTTACACTGTACGCTCGATGTCCTCAAGAATCTGAGAAAATTGGACTATTACAGCAGGAAAAAGCTTTATCGAGCTCAACTTCCTCTTATAGTTGGGAAACAAAAATGTAAACAACCACCCAATTTGCATAGAGCTTGCCTGTTTACAGATTATTTGACCTAAATCCTCTCAGGGACCCTGGGGACAGAGATGGAGGTGTCCTGTTTATGGGTGTGGTGACTCGGATGTCGTCAGTGAAGTGCAGGGAGGCTGTGTGGCTCCACCAAAGGCACAAAGCCGGGCCAAGCTGGCCCTCCACAGTGCCCTTCTGCATTCCGTAAGCAAACAGCCCCCTCCACCAGTTCGCTGCCACCATCCAGAGCCTACCGACACGTTGTCCCTTTCCTGGAAAGACAGGGACACCGCCTCTCCCACAGTATTTCCCGGAGTCCAGGGTCCTCATGCAGACCCTCCCTCTCTTCAGGCCTGGCCCCCTCCCCGGGTTCTTGGGCTGCCCAGGGTGTGCTCTGGGGATTGGACTCTTTCCTGGTTAACCAGATTGGGTGTGGAAACCTGCCAGTCCAGTTTGTGGGAACAAAGGTGGCTTTTGTCACCCAGATCACAGCTACTTATCAGCTGGGGTGGGGGGGCCGCCTTGGAGCTGCTAGGGGCAAGGCAGGTGCGGGGCTGGACTGCGAGCGCTGCCCCCTGGTGGGGAGCCGGGGAATAGACCCTCCACGCGGGTCCCCAGACCAGCTGTGGGGAGCCCAGTCAGCTCGGGTGGGAGACCCAGGGCTCAGGCAGCTGCCTTGCTCTTAAGCACTAAGGTAGGGAATCTTCAGGAAGTCCCCCTGGCATCTGCTAACTCCAGACCCTCACAGGTTCACAGGTAAGGAGATTGAGGCTCGGAAAAAATTGAGGGAGGTCGTGAGGAGTTAACTGGCAGGGTTGGGACTCGAACCTGGTTTTCCTGACTCCCATCCACCCTACCATGCCTGGCCCTGTGGGGCAGGCCACGGAGTCCAGAAGCAAGGCTGGGCCTCTTTCCTTGGCTGACTTTCCTTTGTGTTGAATGCAGCCTTCCCCTCCCCCCATGCGGGTTTGATTTATCCTGGGGGGAAAGTAGCCTTGTGGTGGCCTGTTGAGACACAAACACTCCCACATTTGTTCTTTCACATCCTTACAGCCCCAGCGCACATGTCAACATCCCGGGAAGGGACAGCACCCCCCCCCCCGCCCCCGCCAAAGATTCAGCCAGGGAAGCACCCATCCCTGCGGGCTTGTGGGGGACAGACAGAGCCCCTGCTCAGCCCCATGCCAACTCCTCTGTCTTAGTCGCGGGTTTATTCCATACTCTCTCTGCGCTCCCATGTTCTCTGTCTGTAACGTGGGGTGATAGCAGGTTCACACTGACACGAGAATGCAGCCCGGTGCGTGGCTACCACAGTGGGCTCCGTGGCCAGACTTCCTGGGTGGGAATCCTTAGCTGTGTGGCCTCCATCAAGTTTGCTTAACCTCTCTGTGCCACAACCTCCTTGCCTATTAAAACGAGGTTGAGGATAATAGCCCCTCTTGCGTCGGTTGTTGGAAGTCTGAGATGGATTTATACACCGTGAGCTGTTACGACTGTGCGTGGGACCAGGTGGGTCCTATGCCTCTTCGCCATGACCACACATAGAGGGAGGGCCACGGGCTGTCTTGTCCACTGCTGTGTCCCCAGGCTCTAACGGAACGTCCCAAACGGAGTAGGGCTCAATAGGAATGGGCAAATAAACAAATAATAAACTATATGAAGACACAACAGAACATGCCCTTCCCCCTCCTATTTTCCCTGCACAGCCCTGCCCCCACAGCAGAACTGTTGGCTCCTGGAGTCATCTGTGACCCAGTCCATGTGTCTCCAAGCCCACTTCCCCTCCGAGCCCAGCTGTAGAAGCCTGGGTGGTGGTGGGGGGGTGGGGCGGGGAGATGGCGCAAGACCCAGCCCCACGTGTCCTCTATTTTTCTCTTCGGCATCGTGGGAGGGCTTGCTTTTCCCAGGCAGCTGTGCGGACTCCTCTCCAGCCTGGCTCGGGTTTCTGGGGAGAAGGACAGAAAGAGGAGGAGGCTTTGCCTGATATTTAGATTTCTCAGGGAAAAGGAGGGGTGACAGCTATTGGAACAGTGGTTTCCCAATGCTGGGCTGCATCCTCTCAGCAGAAGCTGGTGGAAATTCAGGTTCTTGCCCCGCGCCCCCCGGTGGGAATTCTGATTCACACTGGGGGCTCTGTCTTTTTAAAAGCTTCTTCGGTGACTCTTATGTACACCCAGGTTTGAACTTGCTTCTTTATTTATCGTTCTGTCAACCAATACTCACTGAATGCCTGCTAGTGTCAGGCTCTGAATGAAACAAAGATATTTGCCCTTACAGAGCCTCTGATTCTGGAAGGGAAGGTAATAAAGCAACAACTTATTTTTAAAAAATCTTAAGTTCCATGAAAAAAAAAATAGCGCGAGGTAAGAGGGATTGAGGTGGGATGAGAGGGATGAGTCATAGTATTAAATGAGATGGTCTTAGGAACCTCACAAAAAGGTCAGCCACGACCGGAGGATCCGTAGGAGGAGGCTGAGCAGCTCTCTGGTGGTAGAGCCTTTCAGGCAGAGGGAACAGTGTATGCAAAGGCTCTGAGGAAGGGGCATGGCTGGCATTTGGGAAGAAGAGCTGGAGCCGAAGGAGATGGTGAGCGATATGTGGAGAGACCAGGGAGGTGAGGGCTTGAGAGTGGAGGGCGTTGGCAGGTCACACAGGGCTGTGTGGGCATTGCTGGGACCTTGGGTGAACTGAGGAGCCATTCTGAGTTTTGGGGTTCTGAGTGGAAGGGTGACCTGGTCTTAGATTTTAAAGGTAACGCTTCTAGGGATGCCAGGGTGGCTCAGCCGGATGAGCATCCGATTCTTGATCTCAGCTCAGGTCATGATCTCAGGGTCCTGGGATCGAGTCCCACATCGGACACCACACTCAGCTAGGAGTCTGCTTGAGATTCTCTGTCTCCCTCTCCCTCTGCCCCTCCCCCCCAAAATAAATCAATAAAATCTTTAAAAATAAATAAAGGGAACCCTTCTGGTTGTGGTGCTAAGAACTGACTCTGACTTTAGTAGGGATACGTAGTTTCTGTATAAAAGGGGAACCCCTCAGTGGGTGAATTTTGGGGTTTCCAACACTGACCCATTTTGTCCCGCTTGTCAAAACCATAACGTACCTGTTCTTGCCTTCCACAGGGTCCCCACCGTGCCAGTGAAGAACCTAAATGGGTCCAGTCCTGTGAATCCTGCCTTGGCAGGTAAGAGAGACCCTGGGCTGCCCTTGCTTGGGGCAGAAAAAGGAAGCAGTAAAGTCGGTAGTGAGCAATTTATAAAAGAGAAAGAATTAAAGTGAATGAGGATTTTAGGAGTAGGGCTGGAAGGGCAGGAAGAGTGCGGGGAGAACTGATTTTTAAAAGCAAAGCATGCTGTTGAAGGTGAGTGAATGCATATATTTCTGGGGAAAGCTACGAGGAAGGGGAGGTAGAGAATAAGCGGGTTCCGAGAACTCTGCTGGGAAGCAGGAGGGTAGGTTTATGGGGAGGGGAGTTTATGGGATGTTGGGAGCTAACTCTGCAGTCCTTCTTCATGCCCTGCCCTTCCAGGAATCACTGGGATTCTCATGAGCGCCGCGGGGCTGCCTGTGTGTCTCACCAGGCCCCCAAAGCTGGTCCTCCACCCACCCCCGGTCAGCAAGAGCGAAATCAAATCCATCCCAGGGGTTTCCAACACGAGCCGCAAGACTACCAAAAAACAAGCCAAGAAAGGTATTGGCCTCCTTATCTTGAGGGGTACAGGAGTCAAAGGTTTGGGCCCCAGCCTTGGCTCGGCCATCATCACTAAAGGTCATACCCATGGCTTCACCCTGTGTGCCTTCATTTCTGCCTCTGCTAAGTGGGCCCAGCTAGTACCTGTTCTGATGATGGTACCAAAGTGGATTGTGTCTGAATCAGATGGAGACGCTTTTAAGAAGGATAAAAATGCAGCACAGAAATATAGAAACATAAAACCACGAAGTATGATGCAAATAAAATACAATACAGAGGAAGATCGCCGTGGCACTGGAACCCAAACAGACTGGGTTCAAACCCCAACTTTGCCACTTGCAAGTCGTGTGACCGCAGAGAGTCTGTTTTCAGACCTTTCTGCTGGGGTGAAAATGCTCACAGCCAGTATCGGGCAGGGGTGCCCCAGAATGCATCCATGCAGCTAGGGAGTAACCACTGTCCTGTGTCCCCCTAAAGCCCCTAGACTCTGGCCATGCGAACCTTCCTTCAGGGCCTCCTTCCCACCTGTGCGCAATCCGGCCACTAAGGGGTCAGAATCTGTGCCTACACACTCGCCCCGAAGGACCCCCTCTCAGCTCTGCAGCTGCTCTTTCTGGCTGCTGGTACTGGTTGTTAAATGTTTTGACCATCACCCCAAGCCCCCACCCTGCAACCACGTTTTGCAGTTCCAGTGGGATCGCACCTACATGGTAACTTGGCCCAGGGCCTGGCAAGTAACAGGCTCTCAATTAAAAGAAGCTTAATTCTTAGACGCAGGACCGTGGCAAGGAAGGGCCTGCCTCCCGGCTCTTGGTGGTTGCATGATCCGCCTCTTCAAACCCTTGCCCTACTTTCCTGCTCCATCAAAAGTTCTCTACTTAAATGAACTCGATTGCCTTGTTCATCATCTGATGGGAAATGACGGGATTTCACACTTTCGCGCTCTTCCTGTGATTATTAATAGCTCACGTTGGACCCTTAGCTGGAACAGCTCTAAAGGACTGTGCGTCCATCCGCTCTCTGAATTGTCAAAGCAACCCTCTGAGCAAGAGCTGTTGCTCTTCCCCATTTTATAGGTGAGAAAACGGAAGCTCAGAGCGGCTAAGAGACGTAGGTGCCCAGGGAGGCACTGACCCTTTTTTGGCCGAGTCATCCTGCCTCCTGCCTTCAGACTGGGGCTGCCGCCTCCGGGGCCCGTCCCCAAAGAAACTCCGGAATCACGGCAGCCTGGCGAGCTGCTTCCCCACTGCAGGGCTGTCTCTGCTCGCAGCAGAGACAAGAGCCGGGAGGCAGGCCCTTCCTTGCCACGGTCCTGCGTCTAAGAATTGAGAGCCTGTTACTTGCCAGGCCCTGGGCCAAGTTACCATGTAGGTGCGATCCCACTGGAACTGCAAAACGTGGTTGCAGGGTGGGGGCTTGGGGTGATGGTCAAAACATTTAACAACCAGTACCAGCAGCCAGAAAGGGCAGCCGCAGAGCTGAGGGGGGGGTCCTTCGGGGCGAGTGTGTAGGCACAGATTCTGACCCCTTAGTGGCCGGATTGCGCACAGGCGGGAAGGAGGCCCTGAAGGAGGTTCAGCCGACAAACAGCATCCCGAAGCTGTGGGCACCGCTTCCTGCTTCCCCAGGGAAATAACATCACCCCGACACCACATTATAGATCGAGACAGTACTTAGCACGATGTAAAAGGAAAGTGATAAGCCTACCTCATGGGGGGTTTTTTTGTTTTTTTTTTTTTTTTAAAGATTTTATTTATTTATTTGAGAGAGAGAATGAGATAGAGAGAGCATGAGAGGGAGGAGGGTCAGAGGGAGAAGCAGGCCTCCCGCCGAGCAGGGAGCCCGATGTGGGACTCGATCCAGGGACTCCAGGATCATGACCTGAGCCGAAGGCAGTCGCTTAACCAACTGAGCCACCCAGGCGCCCCTTGTTGTTTTTTTTTTTAACGTGTAACAGTTTACACAGTTCCTCCAGCTGTCGCCTCACCACATGCTTTGGGCATTGCCCAGGCTCTGATTATATGGAAGAGAAACCCACTCAGCCTATCTCAGGCAAAAAGCGGGTTTGTTGAAAATAGGTACGGGGTGGGGAGGGGGCGTTTGTCAGGGAGAAGACTGCAGGAGGTAAAGATGGGCACGAACACCTCCCACCTCCTCCTCCATCTGCTGATTCCCTTTCAGAGTCTAAAATCCGATTGCAGAATGAATTCCTCCCCTTTCCTGCTTGGAGCCTGGCTGATAACTCCCCTCTCTGGCATGCCCCGCTTGACAAGGCTGTTTGACCCCTTATGTCTGTCTTGGTGGCCCACCAACCATCCTGTCCCCCAACAGGTAAAACCCCTGAAGAAGTGTTGAAGAAGTATCTGCAGAAAGTCCGGCACCCGCCAGATGAGGTGAGCGCAGGGGGAGCAGGTCAGGGCTTGCACCCCCCAGCATTTCCCCTGCCGGATTTTTCTGCAGGATGCAGTGGGAGCAGCTTTCTGTGTCCTGACTGGTACAGAGCTGGTCAGAGCTGACACAGGGCTCCGAGGTTGGTGGTCCAGAGCTGCAGACACCCCCTGACCCCCCACCCACCCCGTTCAGCAAAGGGCTGATTGATTCTAAGCTACCTTTCCATTAACAGTCTGAATTTAAGACCAACAGTAGGATAAGCTACATTATCATATCATGAACTGACTTTTCAATGGGTTTGATGGCAAAGGCGAAAGATTTATGCGATCTGAAGAGAAACCAGAGTCAATGGGTTTGATGTAGATCGGTGGTTCTCAGCCAGAGGGATTTTGCATGTCTGGAGGGGAGAGGGAATGTTTGTGGGCACAGGCCAAGGATGCCAAACACCCACCCGTGCCCAGGACAGCCCCCTCAGCGAAGAATTCTCCAACCCCAAATGCAAGTAGCACCAAGGTTGAGAAATCCTCTTATAGACTTATTTAAGTAGCAGCCCGTCTGGTACACTTGAGGTGCAGTTCCTTTGCAAATGTTCAGCTTAAAGGGTCTATCGGCAAGAGTCTATTTCCTCCCCAAGTCACTGGAGAACACCAGGAAAGGACAGTGCATCATCCATAGCCCTGAAGGAGATTACAGCTTTGGGGGTGAGCCCCAGGTAAGCACGGACCACCACCAGCAATTATTTGAAGAATTGTTCTGTTGTGTAAAGTGAGGTAAAGCTATATTTAGATTCCCAAAGGCACATCTGTCTCTACCTTGGTTTGTGAGTTTTCTAGAAGAGTAGGAGGGACAGTTCGCCTGACTTCTGACCATGCAAGAGTCACGATGGAGATGCTCTGGCTTCCTGGGCCAGGTGAGAGCTGACAGCTTCTCTGCTCTGTACCCCCTCCCCCAGGACTGCACCATCTGCATGGAGCGCCTCACGGCCCCCTCGGGCTACAAGGGCCTGCAGCCAACAGTCAAGCCTGACCTGGTGGGCAAGCTGTCCAGATGCGGCCACATCTACCACATTTACTGCCTGGTCGCTATGTACAACAATGGCAACAAGGTTAGCGCCGGCCCGTGGGGCGCCCACCTCCCACGCTGGGCCCTGTTGGGGTTGCACCCCGGTGATCAGGATCAGGCCTCCACAAAATGATAACCTGTCTTAGCCAACTGCCCCCAGTCTCTACACTGGGTGGGATGGTCTGAGAGGTATAGACTTCCAGTCCCTGAGGGGTTTTTTGGCGGGGGGGTCCATGACAATGGGCCCGTGGGGGTGTTCATTACTACCAGTGTAGATGGATTTCCCTAATTACTTGTCCTTCTCCAGGGCTAGTGATTTTCATTACAATTCATTTTCTTTCTTTTTTGTTTTCAAGATTTTATTTATTTATTTGACAGAGAGAGAGAGAGAGAGAGCACAAGTAGGCAGAGAGGCAGGCAGAGGGAGAGGGAGAAGCAGGCTCCCCACTGAGCAGGGAGCCCGACGTGGGGCTCGATCCCAGGACCCGGGATCATGGCCTGAGCCAAAGGCAGACGCCCAACTGACTGAGCCACCCAGGCGCTCCTACAATTCATTTTCTTTGGACAATTTCAAAACACCCTCAATTGCCCCTTCAGAGGCATTAGGGACTGTTGCCAAAGTATTCCTGGTAGGCCTTTGAACCTCCCTGTTGGAGGAGGGGAGGGCCGTTTGTGGTGCTTGTCTTGTCCACCACTGATGGTGGGGTGGTATTCCTCCAGGAGGCTGGTTCCCAGGAATCTGGGAGTCTCCTGAGATGACAACTCTCTCCTTACACTGTTCGAGCTTTTACGAAGCCACTGACTCTTCTCAAGTTCTTTGCTGTCCTGGGAATAACCATCACTCCCCTATCTCCATGAATTCAAATCCTACTTGCTTCTCCAGACCCAGCTTGGATGGCATCAGAGTCTGAGATTTCCCTGGTATCGCCAGCTGCTTATTCATCCCCCCTCCCAAAAAAAAGTCTGGCTTTCGGAGAGTGCTATGGACTTCTCTTGCTGTGGGAAAAAGTAGAGGCAAGAGAGGCAGCAGACCCAAGCTGGAACCCTGGCTTAGCAACTGAATGACCTTGGGCCAGATTTTCAATCTCTGAGATTTCATTTTCCATCTGGAAATGGAGATAAAACAACACCTACTTGCAGGGTATTATTACCATTGTTATTCAATTTGATATCTCCTAGATATGATAGCTGTAATTTTTTCCCCTTCATCTTTATATAGTCCTGTGATTTAAGTTCCCATAGTGCTGACCTTGGGATCTTTCTCGTCTCAGAGAGCTCAAGCTCAGTCACTGATGGATGATGCCTGTCTGGTCTGGTGCTCACTTTTCTGACCCTAGGTTAAAAGGTTTCATTGGGATTTTGCGTTTTAAGAGGTTATTTTGGATTTAAAGGGGGTTTTAGCACATTCATTCCATTTTTGGTGTCTGTTTTCAAGAATAATCTAGCACCTCTGTATTTACTTCCATAGTGCTTCAGAAATATGTCTCAAGACACTGGCCTTCATTCTTTTTGCACTAATACTTTGAAGCATGCATTTTAAATTTTCTTTGCACAGAAGAGGGAACAAGAGGGCCCAGAGACAAATGAAGTGATTCACCCCCAAGGTCATGAAGCAAGTTAAGGCCAGAGCAGAGAGCGGGACCGTGGGCTCTTGACCCCAAGCCTTGGGTTCCTATCCATTGATCACATGAAGGAACCTTCTCCATCACCCTGAATACAAGTTATTCTTTTAAATTCATAGAGCTTCCATTGAAAAGTCCCCAGATAGCTCCACAGAGGATCTCTGTCCTCCTGAGGTGGTGCAGACGTCCTGGAGCACTCCGGTCCCTGTTATGCCACAGCCCTTTCTGCACACGCTGCTCCCTGCTCAGGTCTTCCTTCTCACCCACTCTCTTCTGGAAAGCCTGGGAACAAGGCTCCTCCCACCCATGCAGTTCACGCCTCGCTGGGCCCCGCTCTGAAGCCAGGGCCCCTTATATTTCTGCATCCGGAGTCTGGCCCTGCTCCCCAACACAGCCCCCAAGGTGCAATGCGGAGCTGGGGTGTTTACACACACCTGCTGGGGCCCTGGCCTTCAACTGTGCTGTGCCTCAGTTTCCCTCCCTGTCAAAGGGACTCATTTTTAAGACTAATAGTAATAATAAGGCTAATATTCCTTTTCAGCCACTATCAGGTGAGGCCAGAATGAAACAAGATGTAAACTCTGTTGTAAGGTTTAAAATGCTATAACTAACAACTCATTCCCTCCTTCACTGCATGTGCAGACCTTATCCTCCCTCCTTCAAAGCCAATTCACAGCTCTTCAGGGATCATTTTCTTTTTCTTTTTTTTTTTTTAAATTTTTATTTATTTGAGACAGAGAGAATGAGAAAGAGAGAGCACATTAGAGGGGGGAGGGTCAGAGGCAGAAGCAGGCTCCCCGCCGAGCAGAGAGCCCGATGCGGGACTCGATCCAGGGACTCCAGGATCATGACCTGAGCTGAAGGCAGTCGCTTAACCAGCTGAGCCACCCAGGCGCCCCCAGGGATCATTTTCTTAAAAGTCAGCTTCATCTACTCCGGCACATGGCACCCACTTTGTCTTTTCAGAGCAGTGGTTTGCAAACTGTACGAACATTAGACTTGCCACAGAGATGATAAGAGCACGGGTAACATTTAGATACACCACTTCATGGAGTGCAAGATTTCCTGTGCGTTATCTAACTTAATCCTTCCAACAACCCGGTGAGATAGATACTATTATTTTCCTTGTTCTGTGAAAAAACAAACAAACAAAAACAAAAACAAGACTCAGAGAGGTTAATTAATTTGCTCAAGGTCACACAGCAGGTAGATGGCAGAGCTGAGAATCAAATCCAGGTGGTTTGACTTCAGAGTTCTTACTCTTAACCGCTATGTTCCGTAGGTAACCCCCTACCCCCAACCAGTCCAACTCGGTGTCCTGGGGTGGGGTCTTTATTTCTAGTGAACTCCTCAGGGGTTGTGATGCTTGGCAGTTTGGCAATGGCTACTCCCTGGTACTTTGTTGTCTGCCCCACTCATTTGGTACTTAGCGGATAAATAATGATTTAACCTGCCCCCGTGAGCTGGTCTCCCTTTCAAGGGTGGGGTCTCTCTTACATGCCCCTTAGCAGGGAGCTGAGTTGTGGAATTTACTTATTTGGGTGCATTTCGTTCCCCTGGCCCTTTATCTTCATTTCCTTGCAGCGTTAGGTGGGGAGGTTGTTACCAAAACTGATTCCCAATGTGGCTGTTCCGGCCTTGTCCCCTCAGGATGGAAGTCTGCAGTGTCCAACCTGTAAGACCATTTATGGAGTGAAGACAGGCACCCAGCCTCCGGGGAAGATGGAGTACCATCTCATCCCTCACTCCCTGCCTGGCCACCCCGACTGCAAAACCATCCGGATCATCTACAGCATCCCTCCCGGCATTCAGGTGAGCTCACTCTCAGCCACTGGCTATTTTTTTTTTTTTTTTTAGGTTTACATGTTGGCAGGAAATATGTGTGTCTTAATCTGTTCAGGCGGCTGTAACAAAATACCACAGACTGGGTGGCTTTTAAACAACAGGAATTTATTTCTCACAGTTCTGGAGGCTGGGAAGTCCAAGGTCAAGGTGCTGACAGATTCACTGTGTGGTAAGGGCCTGTCTCCTAGTCCATAGATGTCTTTTTGCTGTGTCCTCATGGCAGGAGGGGCCAGGGAGCTCTCTGGGGTCTTTTTCATAAGGGAGGGTTCCTTTCTGATCCCATTCAGGAGGGTTCACCTTATCACCCCCAACCCCCCACCAAGGCCCCGCCTCCAAATACCGTCACCTTGGGGTTAGATTTCAACCCATTAATTTCGGAGGGACACAGACTTTCAGTCTACAGCATCCCATCAGCTTCCTGTCCTTTCGTGCAAAATGCATTCTATTCCAATAGTGCCCAAAGTCTTAACTCATTCCAGCATCAACTCGAAAGTCTAAATCTGAGGTCTGGCCTATAGACCATGTAGATCAGAGGTGGGAGAGACCCCAGGTGCAAGTTCCTGTCCAGCTGGGAACCCGTGAAACCGAAAAGGTTATGTGGTGGAGCCCCCACGAACGGGATGGGTGCCCTTGTAGAAGAGCCCCCAGGGACCCCCTCCCCTTGCCTCATCGAGGCCACAGGGAGAAGACAGGCTCTGTGAACCAGGAAGGGGGTGCCCACTAGACGCTGGATCTGCTGGCGCTAGACTTCCCAGCCTCCGGAATGGTGTTAAATACACTTGTGTTGTTTAAGCTGCCCTGCCTGTGGCATTTGGTTACAGCAGCCCGAGAGGGCTAAGATAATTTTATACTGTGAAAAGTTTCCTTTCTCCCATCTACACGGTCTCAGCCCCTGCCCCTGACCTTCCGCCATTGTTCTGACTTTCTTACATGTCCCCCAGCTTTCTCTCTGCCTGCGCAGCGAAGATGCTTTCCGCCCCACCCATGCGCACCCAAAACATGACATATTAGACACACCGTTCTGCGCCCTGCATTTTTCAATTAACAATAGAGTTTGTAGATCTTCCCATGTCAGTATATCTTCCTTGTTCCTTCTTAGCTCTGGGTGATAATCCATCATGTAAATGTACCATAGTTTATATTCAACAGTCTCCATTTGACGGGCATATGGATTGTTTCCAATCTTTTACTACAACAAATAATGCTGTAGTGAAAAACCTTGTATGCCTGTGAGTGTATCTGTAGAATAATTTTCCAGAAGTAGAGTTTCTTTGTCAAATGGCATTTGCATTTAATATTTGATAGATGTTCCTTGGCTTTGATTTGGGGGAAGGGCATTTCTCTCCTCTTTTGATACTTTGAAAGGCAGTCCTAAGGAACAAATTGAACAGTATTCCTGCCAGTAAATACAAATGTGTTCCTTCCATCACACATTGAAGCTTTTCCAAAATGATCTAGGGTACTCACTGGATTCGTTTATTGGGCAAATATTTATTAGTTTATCCTTCCCTCCTCCCTCCTCCTTGCCTTCTTCCATTTTGTCTCTTATTTTTTTTAAAGACTTTATTTATTTGGGAGAGAGAGATTGAGAGAGGGAGAGAGCATGAGCAGGGGGAAGGATAGAGGGAAAGGGAGAAGCAGACCTCCCACTGAGCAGGGAGCCCCCACACAGGGCTCGATCCCAGCACCCCGAGATCATGACTTGAGCCGAAGGCAGACGCTTAACTGACTGAGCCACCCAGGCGCCCCTGTCTCTTATTTAACAAATATTGAGAGATGGATTATGGGCCAGGCACATTCTAGGTGCTGGAGAAACAATGGTGAACAAAACGGACAGTCCTTGCTCCCCTCATGTCCCCACTCAAGGGGGATGAGGAAGACCACAGACAGATGCGCAACCAAGGACTTCCAACTAGTGATAAGTCACATGGAAAAAATAAAACAGGGGTGTGTGATTGTCTGTAAAAGAAAAGAACTGAATAAAAAACATGGTTCTTCCTTGAGGGACTTACCAGCCAGTCAGGAAAAATAAATACACATCACAAAACTATAGAGCAAAACACGGTGTGCACCATTGATGAATGCTGTGGAAGGCCGAACAGGGTCCCCAGAGTCTGGCAGACCTGGGTTCTGACTGCTGGTTGACTCCTTATTGGCTGGGACTTTGGGCGACCCCTTGACCTTTCTGAGCTCGGTTTCTTTATCTGTATAGCTGGGAACCTCCTGTGCAGAGGGTTTGGAAGGCTAGGAGATGACATTTGTATGTGCACATTGTGGTATTGGGCGCAGTGCTGAGGTTCTAGTGCCTGGTCACTGGCCTTATTGGAGTATGGTACTTCTCAGGGTGAGGAAGAGGGCTTATGTCTGTCTATCTGGGAGGGTCGGAGGAGACTTTCTGGTGCAGGGCACACGGTAGTAGAGCTTGGAGAACCATGAAGAAATGGAGAGATTTGTAGTGGGAGGACACAGCGGAGTTGTAGCAGGGAGGAAATGGGGGTGTTGGAAGAGTTTACTTTGGGATTTATGACTTGCAAAGGTGGGGCATGGGAGGAGGGCGCATGAAGGGTGGAGAAGCCTAGGCGGGGAAGGAGGACCGCGGCCAGGCCATGGGAGGATGCCAACATGTGGGGGGCTACAACTTCCCCTGCCAGTCTGGGGAGCACTGAGAGGCTGCTGGGCAAGACTAGCATCATGGAAAGTTGTGCATTGGGAATGCGGCTCAGGAAGGTCTGCCGGGCAGAAGAATGAGGGGTGATGACCTGATAGGCCAGTTAGGAGGCCACTCTGGGTCATGGGGCCCGAACGCGGGAGGCGCTGGGGACAAGGGAGAGCGAGATACGGTTGGATGCAGGGGCCGCTGAGACTTCTGCAATGACTGGAGGCATCCAGTTTGGATGGTAGCGACACGACTGACAACATGGGAGTCGGAAGAAACAGCTGACGGCCCCGTGGTGGCAAGTAGAACAGACTGAAGTGGGCGAGGATCGGGACAGGGCAACTCTTTTGCAGGAGGCTCTTTTCCCAGCCTCCGGGACTGAAGAACGGAGAGGTGGCACCAGGGGGTAGAGGGGCCCCAGGCCTGTGTCAAGGGAAATGCCTCTCTCTGCGGTCAGGACAGCCGCTCCGTAGACCCACCCTGAACGTCCACAGCAGGACACGAGGGCCACGTCTGTCCCTGTCCCCAGAGACTCCCAGAGACTGCACGGGCTTGGGCTCCCATGAGGAGTCGAGAACTAGGAGCTCCGCCTTCAGAGAATGATTCCCTGGAGGAGAAACTCTGATCCAGGGAGGCAGAGTTGTGACTGTTCCGCTTAGTGACAGGCCGGGAGCAGGCAGCCCTGCTGGGTCGGTGCCAGGCGGGCGTCTGGGTTGGCTGCACCCCGGGCACGTCCCAGGCGGGCGAGGCGCGGGCAGAGCCGTGGTGGGAATCGGCCCTTCCGTGGGGCAGCCTGGCCGACAAACAGCCGTGGCCGTGAGCGTGTTGTAAATGTGGGGTGATTTCGCATGAATGCAGAATTCAGGGCTGTCAGGTCCCGCATCTCCAAGCATCTCCAAGAAGACGGTGTTGTGGCTCTCAGCCCACAGGGACCTCTCCCTTTGCCGATATCGCGCTCAACGCTGTTCAGTTTGCCAAATGATAGATGATCTACCGCGCTATTAAAAATTTTCTTAAATCACAGGATTTTAACATCAATTTGGAACCACCATCCATTATGAAACAAAAAAGCAAAAAACCCCTCAAAAGTCTGTGTTTTCTGGCAATCTTGGCATTCATGCATTCATTCACTCGTTCACTCATTTTTTTCAGCCAGAACTCATTTACCATTTGTGTGAGATCTTGTGCCAGGAGCTGCATGGAATTATCATTATTATATTGGTTTCATCTAGAAGGGATTTTTCAAGGGCTTCCACAGACCCTCACGGGTCAGAGATGCTCAGAAATTACAGGCAGACCTTTGTGTGTGGGCGGGGACGGGTTGGGGGAAGTATGTGCAGTGGTACTGGGAGAAAATCCCACCCTTTTCATGAGCTGCTCAGGGGGCCTGTGGACACATTCTGGACCCTGATTACCAAGCCTGGCTTCTGGCTGAAGTCTGCTTCAGTTTCTTTCCCACCCAGCGGCCCGAGACGGCTTGCCTAATTGGGGTATTGGTGCACCCCACGTTCACTGCCGCATTATTCACAATAGCCAAGAGAGGGAAGAAACCTAAGTGTCCACCAGTGGATGAATGGATAAAGAAGGTGATCACACGGCCCCTGAATCAGAGGCACTTTTGTGATTCTGAGTAGTTTGGAGGCAAACCGTTCAGTGTGCCCCAGGAAACCTGGACTTAAGTTTTGGCAAAGCCATCGGAGAAGCCCAGTAACCTCTCTAGGCTGCAAGTTTTCCTCTTTTGTAAAACAGAAGAGCCGGCATAGCTGTTGGATGATGATGACGAACATTTACCGAGTTCTTACTATGCTCTGGGGCCAAGCGCACTTAACATTCATATTCTCCCTATTTAACAGCCGGGGTATCCACACCCCAAGAGAGGGCTCCAGCCAACACCTCTGGGAGGCGGCAGCTCTGGGTCCAAACCCAGGTGAAACTGCTGTCACGGCTTTGGGATCTGTTCTCTGTCTAGACACTACGACCCTTATTATTGTCATCATTATTTGAATTAGTCACGGTCTGCACCGCTTTGTTAAAAATATTTTGAACACTGCCCTTCGCTGTCTTTCTTTCTGCTTTCAGGGGCCAGAACACCCGAATCCTGGGAAGAGTTTCAGCGCCCGTGGCTTCCCACGACACTGCTACCTTCCGGACAGCGAGAAAGGGAGAAAAGTAAGAGCGGGCGTCTGGGTGGGGTGGGGGAGGATTTACTTCTGTGTCAGGGCCCCAAGTTTTGCTTCCTGCCATGCACAGGCTAAAAAGAGCGGGGTCTCTTTTTACTCTAGATGCACATGGTAACAAGGTCATATTTGAGTCAGCCATAGGTAAGGGTAGATAGGATTAGAATTTTTTCTCTTGCAGGGTGGTGGGGGTACGGCTCTTTCTTCTCTTGGATAATACCGGCAATAATTGATCTATTTTAGGATCCTTTCTCTCAAGCTTTGCTGCTTAGCAGCTGGTCCTGGGACCAGTACCGGGGGCCACACCTAGAAGCTTGGTAGAAATGCAGAACCTTAGAACCTACTTCATTTTAACAAGATCCCAGGTGATCTAATAGCACATTAAAGCTTCAGAGGCACTGCCTTGTGGCAGGGATCTTAATGTGGGGGAGGTTACTTTTTTATAATGTACTTTTGTATTCTCTGACTGTCCCAAAAAGGCAGAGGGAAAAAAATCACTGGGTTTCTGGATTCCCACTGATTCATGGTCAGGCTTCAGTGGTTCTATGAATTGTAAAGTTAGAATGAAGTTTTTATGTTCATTTTTCTGTGGCAAAGGCCAGAAAATCATTGGATTTTCAAAACCTTCCCTAACCTCAAAAAGGATAAGAACCATAGATCTAGGGGGTGTTGTGCCCCTTGTGGGGTGCTAGAGTGCAGTGCTGGACGAGAGGTGGATTTTATTTTATTTTTTAAGATTTTATTTTATTTATTTGAGACAGAGAGAGTGAGAGAGAGAATGAGCAGGGGGAGGGGTGGGGCAGAGAGAAAGGGAGAAGCAGACTCCCCGCCGAGCAGGGAGCCGGATGCGGGACTCAATCTCAGGACCCTGAGATCATGACCTGAGCCAAAGGCAGATACTTAGCGACTGAGCCACCCAGGTGCCCCAAGAGGTGGATTTTAGGTAGCTTTCTCCAGGTCATGCTGTGTAACAAACAACCTCAGTCTCAGAGGCCGACTTCAACAAATGTTTATTTCTCACGCACTTTGCATGCCAGTGGCTGTGGCTTGTTTGCTGCTTGAGTCAGCTCAGTCTGCTCCATGGGGCTCCATGCCCTGGAATCCAGCTTGAAGGAGCAGCCCTTCTGTGATCTATGCCCTTCCCATGGAACTGGGCCGAGGACCAAGAGAAAATCCAAGTGGAATGGTACAATCCTACTAGAGTTGCCCCTGAAAGCTTGTTGCTCCTACTCACATTTCACCAGCCTTGGGCACTATGCAAGCAGTGGGGTCGTGAACTGCCTACAGTTGGGTCCCATGGCAAAGGGTATGGATATGTTCTCCTCTTACAGAGGAGAAAGCAGATCGTTTGGAACAATGAGAAAATCAACCACATTGTGAAGATGTGCCCAGTGCAAGGTCCTCAGATTAGGAGTCAGGCTTAGTCCTGATACCTGATTGCCCTGAACAGCCCCAAATCGGTACCTGAGCCCCAGATCGACTGTCCCAACTGCTGGCTAAACATGTCCACTGTGAAGTCCTACTGCTAAAACTTGAATCCTCTTGCCAAGAGCTGCTCCTCTTCCATGCCTCCTTCCCCATGTTAATGACATACCCAGGATCCCTGGGACCCAGATTGGACACGTTAGTGGACCCTTGCTCTGAACGACACCCCACTTGGGGCATTTCCCTGTGAACTGCCTGCTAAATTGACTCCTTTTCTAATCCTGCCACTCCCAACCTAGTAAATCCTTTCATCTTTCACCTGCTACCAGGTTAAATATCCTTTTTTTTTAAAAGTAGGCTCCATAAAAAGAAATAAAAATAAAAAAAGTAAAGTAAAGCTCCATGCCCAGTGTGGAGCGCAACACAGGGCTAGAACTCACAACCCTGAGATCAAGACCTGAGCTTTACTCTAGATGCAGTCTTAACAGACTGAGTCACCCAGGCGCCCCACATGTTAGATATCCTAAAGCACGGTTTCTAGCATCAAGCTTTTTTGTTGAGAAGAAATAAAGTAGGAAAAAAACCCAAAAAATTGTTTTGATGTCTTTCCCTTCCTTCTTTACAATGTACAGCCTTCTCAGCTTGGCATATAAGACCTACTACAGTGTGGGTCTAAGCCTTCCCCTCATACTAATTCCTCACCTTTATCCTTCATTTGTCTGCTGGTCTGGGGCCCTAACCTGGGCTCTTGCACAGCAAGGTAATAAAGAGCATGGGTTTGGGAGCCAGACTGGCTTTGGTCCGAGTCCTAGTTTTGCAGTTTACCAGAAGTGGGGACTGGCATAAAGATGAACATTCTGAAGTCTTATTTTCCGGATCTATAAAACAGCGGTGATCATTTCTATCTGCATGGACAGGATGTTGTAAAAATTAAATGAAAGTAGCATTTGTAAAATGCCCAGCGTGGTGAAAACTATTGTTGTAATTACACACGCTTCAGTTCATAATTTTTTACTGTGTCTACATGTCCTTTTCTACTGATATACAGTTGACCCTTAAATAACTCAGGGGTCAGGGGAGCTGGCCCCCATCCTCCTGAAGTTGATATCCACATATAACTTTTTTTAAAAAGATTTATTTATTTGAGAGGGAGGGAGTAGAGAGGGAGTGGGGGGAGGGGCAGAGGGAAAGAATCCTCATGCAGATCCTCCACTGAGCACGGAGCCCTACACAGGGCTCCATCCCAGGATTCTGAGATCAGGACCTGAGCCAAAATCAAGTCGGACAGTTAACTGCCTGAGTCACCCAGGAGCCCCTCCACATAAAGCTTTTGACTACCCCAAAACTTAACCAGTAATAGCCTACCATTGACCAGAAGCCTTGCCGATAACGCAAGCAGTCAATTAACACATATTTTGTATGGTATGTGTATGACATGCTGTATTCTTACAATAAAGTAAGCTAAGCAAAAGAAAATGTTATTAAGAAAACTGTAAGTGCTGTCCTGTAAAAGTTTTTATAGGACTGTAAAAAAAAAAAAGTCCGCATATAAGTGGACCTGAGCAGTTCAAACCCGTGTTGCTCAAGGGTTAACTGTATTCACACCCTCCTCTCCCTCCGATACTCGGTTCAAAAGCATCTTCCTCCCTGAAATCTATACAGATTCGCATCTGAGAGTCAACAGAGTAGTGATTCAGACCATGGACAGGCAGTGAAGTCAGGCAGTCCTGAAGTCAAGGTCCCCCTCTGCGCTTGCCTGGTGTATGACCAGGGCAAGTCTTACTCTGCTGAGCTTCTTCATCTGCAGAAAGGGGATTAAGGAGAATACCTGTTGTATCTGATTGTTGTAACTACTACATGACCCAGTGCTTGCTACTTGTAAGTGAACACTCAGGGGAGGTCGATCATATTTCTAACGTATGCTATTGTTATTGTTTTGACTGTTATAATTTCCCACCTCCAGCCCATACCATGTTGACGGTAGTTCTTTTTTTAAAAATTTTACTTACTTATTTGACAGAGAGAGACACAGTGAGAGAGGGAACACAAGCAGGGGGAGTGGGAGAGGGAGAAGCAGTCTTCCCGAGGAGCAGGGAGCCCGACGCGGGGTTCAATCCCAGGACCCTGGGACCATGACCTGAGCCGAAGGCAGGCGCTTAATGACTGAGCCACCCAGGCGCCCCAGTGTTAATAAATCTTAAAAAAAAAAAAGAGGGCGCCTGGGTGGCTCATCATTAAGCATCTGCCTTCAGCTCAGGTCATGGTCCCAGGGTCCTGGGATCGAGCCCCACATCAGGCTCCCTGCTCCACAGGAAGCCTGCTTCTCCCTCTCCCACTCCCCCTGCTTGTGTTCCCTCTCTGTCTCTGTCAAATAAATAAATAAAATCTTTAAAAGAAAAGATTTATTAATACTTATTTTATTTTTTATTTTTTTATTTTTTAAAGATTTTGTTTATTTTTGACAGACAGTGTACAAGCAGGGGAAGCAGCAAGTAGAAGGAGAGGGAGAAGCAGTCTTCCCGTGGAGCAGGGAGCCTGATGTGGGGCTCGATCCCAGGACCCTGGGATCATGACCCGATCTGAAGGCAGACGCTTAACCGTCTGAGCCACCCAAGCGCCCCTTATTTTATTTTTTAAAGATTTTATTTATTTATTTGTCAGAGAGAGAGAGAGAGCACAAGCAGGGGGAGCAGCAGAGGGAAAAGCAGGCTCTCTGCTGAGCAGGGAGCCCGATGCGGGGCTCAATCCCAGGACCCTGAGATCATGACCTGAGCCAAAGGCAGACGGTTAACTGACTAAGCCACCAGCCATCCCAATACATTTTATTTTTCAGAGAGAGAGAGAGAGCAAGGGGAGGGGCAGAAGGAGAGGGAGAGAACAGATTCCCCGCTGAGCATGGAGCCCATCTCAGGGCTCAATCTCAGGATCCTGAGATCATGGCCCAAGCCGAAATCAAGAGTCGGACGCTCAACCGACTGAGTCACCTGGATGCCCCATGGTAGTTCTTTTTTGAATCCAGGGCATTTACATCGGGTGCTTTCTTCATGCTGGATAGGATGTTAGGCAGTTGTCTTACTCAACAACGAATTTTTTTTTTTTTTAATTTCGCTGAATTAGAACATTCTGCAAGGCCTAACACCTCACTGGGCGTCACTTATAAAATAGAGACGATAATAGCCCCTGCCAGATCTGCCTCCAAGTGTGCTCGTGAGGACTAGGAGAGCAAATACATATGAAATAGCCTGGTAGAGGTCACAGCACTTCAACCACGTCCCTGGAGAACTATGGCACGTCTGTAGCTGCGTGTGCCCTAATACCCGCTTCGGGGAGGGGGTGGTAGCGAAGGCACAGCTTCCGAAGCTCTGGGATCGTAAGTGCCTTGAATTCCTAGGTCCTATCTTTTAGCCGTGATGTTGGTAGCTAACGTTTGTTGAGTAGTATGTGCCAGTCCCTACTATGAAAGCGCTGGTAACATTTAGCAGATCATAGCATTGCCATTTTATAAGTAAGGAAATTAAGGCTCAGAAAGGTGACATCATTTGTCCAAGTTCCCACAGTTCACTGGTGACGGAACCAAGACTTGCGCCTCCCTGACACCACACCCAAACTCTTGCTGTTCACTGTGCCGCTTGGGGCATCATGACTCAAGAAGAGGTGGACCTTTGGGAAGACTCTGCCGTCCAAGGCGTCGTCTCTGACCGGCACTAAGTGTCTGCCTTTGGTCTCCTGCCTTGACTCGCTCAGGTGCTGAAGCTGCTGCTCGTGGCCTGGGATCGCCGCCTCATCTTTGCCATCGGTACCTCCAGCACCACGGGCGAGTCAGATACCGTCATCTGGAACGAGGTCCACCACAAGACAGAATTCGGCTCTAATCTCACAGGTCACGGCTACCCAGACGCCAATTACCTGGATAATGTGCTGGCTGAACTGGCTGCCCAGGGCATTTCAGAGGACAGCACTGCCCAGGAGAAGGATTGAGCTGGGGGGGGAGGGGGGTCTTTGGGCCAGGAGGGGCTGTGGGGACCACAGGGCAGGAAGCGGGAGAATCAAGGTGGAAGTCGGTGCCATGCCCTCCCGACTCCCTCATTTCCCCTTCTGTCCTATCCCCATCCCCCATCCCCCCTGGCCACAGCGGGGAGTGAGATTGAGTAAGGTGACATCATTCATAAACCTCATCCGCCACAAAGGGGACAAGGGATGAGGGCCATCCTCGGTCTGTTCCCATGGAGTTTTCGGTGCTGGGTAGGCAAGAACCCCCCCACCCCCCTAAGTAGGGGGCACAGTCAGCACACTTAGGGTACGGACAGTGCGTGGGCACTCCATACCCTGGCCTTGTGAAGCCTGAGATTCAGTACCTCAGCTGGCTTCTTGCTGCTTCCACTCTCCTTTGAGAGCGGAGTTTCTGCTTTTCTCTCCTCCTCTGGAGGCGAGGAGCTCTCACTGTGCAAGATTGGGGGGCAAAGGGGTGAACTGCTAAACTGCTGTGACATCAGAAATCAATGCCTCTGTGTACAGCAAGGAAGCACTTCTCACCAAGAGGGTCAGGGAGGCAAAGGCTTCTGGGAGCACATTTAGCTCTCATAACAGTCATTGGCTTCTCTGGGCCCTCCCTCCTCACATTTTTGACCTGTCCAAAGAGGCATCTGGTTCTCTTGTGTGGATGGATGGACTCTGGGATTCCTCTCTGGGGTGGCATCCCATGATGTTTCCAGCCCCTCTCTGATCAGACCAGAGTCTGCATCCCACTTAGCATCTGAACTGTCCTCAGGGAGAGGAGCCCAAAGCCTTCTTCCCAACTCATCCCAGACCAGCTCAAAGATTCCATGAGTTTCATCAAGTCACTGTGAGTAGAGCCCACGCTGGGCTCTGTGCCATCTGTGTATGTGCATATATATGTGTGTGTGCGTGTATGCACCACTGGGCCAGGTTGGTGGACAGTCCCATCCTGTTCTCCCATTCTGTTTTGCAAACTGTCAAACTCCAGTTCTGATGGGGATCAAACAATCAAGCTGTGGTTCCTTAACTTTCCTCACCCTTTGCAACCCATCCCATAGTAAACTTGGACCCAGATGGTAACAATCATGCATCTTGCCAGATGCCCCAAGGAACTGTGCTTGGGAAGAAGTGTAAGATGAGGGCTGGACTGACCCCTTTTTATATCTCTTTCAAGATTGGATCTAACCAATTCACCCAGTCTTGTTTCTATGAGGGCTTTGATCTGTCTCCATGTACATTTGCTAATCAGATCTCAGAGGTGGTGCTGGGCCCCTCATCTGTTGCAGATTGACCTAGAGCATGGAGGGAGACTTTCTAGCTCATTCCTAACAGGGTTGGGACCACATCATGGTCCAGTCCAACCTGCATTTGGGTTGTGTCCCAAGACTCTATCCCCTCTCCAGCATTCCTCTTGCTTTTCGCTTCCCTTAAGGAATAAATTGGGGGTCAGGGAGGAGAGAAGGGGGATCAAGAAGGGAAACCCAATTCCCCCTTTGAAAGTGGGTTCTTTGAACTATATGTTTGAGGGAAGTTCCTCTGGATACTAATTTGAATTTATATACCTCATGTTTTGGGGGTTTGACGTATATATATCCATATATATTTCATAATATTTGGAAGGTTTTTGATGCTAGAAAATTGAAACAAAAGAACCTTCAGAAATGGTACTTAAGTTAGAACCTGAAGCCAGGCTTTCCTGCGAACTGGCTCTGTAGCTCCTTGCTGTTTGCCCATAACCGTTTTGACGTCCGTGTGGCCAGTGGACTCCCCTGAGTGTCACCCAGTTCCTTGGGACATGCTGGTGCTGAGCCTTTCCCCATTCTTCAAATGGCTATCAAGATGCTAATTGGCTCCAGCAGAGGGAGCTCTGATAGGAGGAATTGTTCCTGACACCTTAGGTCCAGTTTCTCCCGTCAGCCGGCCACCATCTTATCTCACCAGCGGACCAGGACATTGGACCTGAGTTCACTGCACCACAGGGCACAGTTTCCTGCCACAGTCGGGAGGAAACATATGAACTCAGTGGAAGGGACATCGCTGCGGTGTTTAATATCACACCCCGTGCCCTCTGCCAGGCTACCGTGTAACAGAGATCATTGAAGAGCCTCACTGTAGACTTAGTACCATCTCCGCCTTCAGCAGGAGACCCGGGTCAAGTGTCTGCTGAGCTTCTCACCCACCGGGATCAGGAAAGATTTGAGGGTCAGTGAGTAGAAACACACAGCTGTGGAGTAGGTGGGGAGAGGAAGAAAATACACTCTAACAACTGGCAGTGGTCAGCGGGGAGAGGCTGGTTTCCCTGCAGCAGGCAGAAGAAGGGATGGACGGGGAAGGGGACAGCTGAGCAAAGAAGGGAGAGGACTGCGAATGGACCAGGCAGGGTGCCAGGGGCAATACCACTTTGAGAGTGAGTCTTCATACTTCAAGACTTCCCTGTCTAGGATGCTGACTATGTCTGTGCCCCGGTTCTCTTCCTTTCTGAAGATGCTCCATAGGCGTGACCTCATCCTTATGCTGTTCTTCCGGGGGGCTTTCTAGGCAGAAGGGATCTTGAATCTCCTTTCTAACACTGTGCCAGGCAAGGCGGGGGCATCCCTTTGCCCTTTCCCTGCACCAGCCTGGAAAGGCACAGTCTCGGGCTCAGTGAGAACCCTGCAAGCAGGGGTCCTGAGCACCCACCCCTCCAACATAGGATGTTTTCCCACCACTGCTGTTCCCGCTGTGTCTCCTGGCCCGCGAGGGGAATCCCATGCCTTTCCTTTCATGCACCAGCAGCCTACTTTCTCCCTTCCTGAGTCTCCAGGGATGACAAATGGGATTGAGGACAAACTCTGTCAGATGCGCATCCCTTAAAGGTTACTTGTGTATATGTGGTTGTGCGTGCCTTTGTGTTTCATACCCTTTCCTCTACCTTTTTTGTAAAACTTGGACTTCTCTGTGGTTTTACACTTGGTCAAAAGTACTCGTCCTGTTATTGCACTGCTGTGTGCATGAGAGGGTAGGGGGCAGGCCGCATGTAGTACAAGAAAGGGCCCTGTCCCCTTTTCTTGTCTGTGGTCACTGGCAATTGAGTGGGGGTTTTCTGGGAGAGGGAAGGCGAATGTCCTAATGTAAATCTTTGTAACTGGTGTGTTTTGAAGTCCTTGGTGTTGCTCTGTGAGAGGACATCGCCACCTGGTGCTCATGAGGTGTATGTGCAGAACAATAAATGGCAAGTGAACAACCACAAATTGCTGTTAACCTTCTGCTTTTTGCAGATTAGGGCACCGAATTGTGAGGCATTTGGGGCACTTCCCCGATCTGTAAGCAATCACAAGCCCCAAGTTGGGGTGGGGGAATCCCTTTTCTCTTTTTCCCCCCACATCTTTTCCACCCATACATTTGACCAAGGGACCGGGCTTGACTTCTTGTTCCTCTCAAGAACTAGACTGCACCGCCTCGGCTGGGGAAATGTAAGTGAATCTATGTGGGAAAGACCGCCTTAAAAAACACAAATGTTTCTTACAGTTCCCTCCACCTGACTACTATGTAGGGTATGTTTCAGTAATTTGCAGGCTGTTGTTTCTCAAATAAATACTTAGTATTAATCCCTACACTAACACGAACACAAAATGCAAATGCAAAGCTGCCCTGATCACCCAAATGTGTCTCTATTTTTGAGAGTCTAGAGAGTGTTGTTTTCGCGAAGCTGGGGTTCATCTTCCCACAGAGCCCAGCCTGAGCTCCTGGGTCAAGACAGCAGAGCCTGTGAAATTCCCACTCTGGGTTCTGACTTTGCAAAATGACCAGAAAACTGCAAACCCCCGCATTTTCATTTCCTGTGGATGAGCAGTCAGACACGTGTTCCTTAAGTACACATTTTAATGCATACTTATGCATAATTTTGTTAGAAATGTAAGTTTGTGAAGAACTTCTATTTCAAAGGGCAGTTAGCATTAAAAGTCTGAGAGCCCTTAGCTGTACTTTGTCTCTGACTCAGTCGTCTTCAAGGAATTCATGGGGGAATTTGCAAAGAAGTGGTTAGTTCAGCTGAAATTTACCCACAAAACCCCCAGAGGTTTAGGAGACTATTTTAATGCTTAAGCGGCAGAGTTCAGAGACGAGGTTGCAGAAATCAGTGTTGGCGGCTGGGCAGCCGGGGATGAGTGTGAGTGTGAGTGTGAAGGTGAGGGTGAGACGAACGAGTAGCCTCCTTCCCATCTTCCCACAGGCTGGGATGCTGCAGGCTTCTCAGAAGGATTTATGTAAGCCTAAACTCATGATTGTGAATGTTAACGAGGTGAGGACAGATTATCCTTCATAAAAATTAACTCATTCGTGGCATCTGATTCGGTGAAGAGACATGTAACTATTAAAAATGTTGTAGAGAAGGAGCGCCTGGCTGGCTCAGTGCGTAGAGCATGTGACGCTTGATCTCAAGGTTTGTGAGTTCAAGCCCCATGTTGGGAGTAGAATTTACTTAATTAAAAAAAAAATTTTTTTTAATGTCGTGGAGAGGTATTAGTAGACTCACCTTAATCGTTACAATTCGGTGAGATTGGTATAAAAATTGGGCCAAACCTCCCCCCTCAAAAAAAAAGAAAAAAGAAATAAATAAAGTTGAGCAAAGCCCCAAATGCCAGGAAACACTCATGCATCCTGCTGGATGCCTGAGGGAAGTCAGCCTGGAACAGAAATAAATGTATCACAAATGGTGTTGGATGCCTTTTTTGTTTCATTTAAAAACATAGATTTGATCATGTTAGCCTCTTTTCTGCTGGGGGAAAAAAAACAAAGGTAAGGTACATAATTGGTAGGTTCTGCTCTATTTTGTTTTAGGGAGGAAATAATACTTAGGTGTGGGTTTACTTTGTCTCCTGCCCCTAGAAAAATGGAGACTTCTTGTTGGAATGTGGTGTGTGGAGGGAGGGTGGGGGTGTGTGTGCACACATGTGTTTGGGGTGTGTGTGTCTGGGGGATGTGTTCAGGGGGTGCACACATGTGTGTTCGGGGGTGTGTACATGTGATGCGAGGACAGAAAGGGGAAGGGCCCCTCATGGACGAAGCAGGGGTAGTACTCTGGTAACAGAGACCAGGAAACTGTAATGCTTGTTCTACCCCAATCTGCAGCTCCATAAGCCAGGGAGGTGGTTAAGGGTAACCAGTTTCCCCTGAGTGCCTGGATCTTGTCCAGTTCTCACCCTTTTTTTAACTTATGCCTTGTCTCCAAACCATCCCTTCTCCCTTGACCTCCTAATAGAAGATTATAAGTTAAAATATTTTTTTGAGGACTTTATGACACTCGTCTGAAGTCCAAAAGTGACCTGGTCTGAGTGAGTCAGGATTGTGGCTGGAAGGCTGGAAAACGTGGGACTTAGTAGAGACAACATCTTGCTGTTCAGATGAGCTTGAGAGGACCCCGTTCATCAGTACAGAGCCCTCAACAGTGAAAATCAGTGGCCATGCGGGACTTCCCGTATCTTCTGGTGGAACTTTCAGCCTCCAGGAGCATGAACTCCAGAGAGACTTTTTAAAAAACAAAAGAGTAGGAGGGTAACACTTAGAAATTCTTACAGCTCATGAATTGGAAACCGTGGCCGATCTCAGATTAAATACATGGTCTCCAAATCCAAAGGTCAACATGCTCCCCCCGTCTCTTTTCTCACGTATGTATTCAGGTGAAGATAATCAACGATGCACACAGAGAGAAGATACCCCCTTCATGTTTTAGCCCCCACGATGACTTTGGCTTAAAAAGTCATGTTGGCTCTCCTACCCCACCCCAACCCTGTCCACGCAGCTCTGTTCATTTTGTGGCTGGGAGCCCTAAGGAAGTCACAAAGTTATACCTGCTTTTTCTTGCACCTGCCACGCCAGTCCTCAGGAAGGCAGAAGTGAAGAGTGAAGGGATGAAAGGCCTGCTTACAGAGACGAGAGAGACGTTTCTCCGGAGAGATTTAGGCTGGACTCTGCCCCTGCTCTTGGTCAGGGGTGCCCCCCGTCTCTGCAGAGCCCGCCGCCAAACTCTGCCTCTCGTCCTCCAATGCCTGGTAGCCCCTCTTCTTGTACTTCCGGGTGCCGTAGACGGCCAGGGCAATGGTGGCTGCCAGGACAGTGGTGACTCCCATTGTGACCCCAGCTGCTGCCCCCCCTGACAGGCCACTGCCGTCCCCGTGGATGACCCCCATGGCCTTGCGCACCTCTAACGGCTCCCCCAGCCTCCACTGGTGGGTCTGGGAGTCTTTAATCCAGGAACTCGCCGTCTCGCTATTTGTCACGATGACAGTGTTGGTGGCAACCTGACTCATGAGGGGTGGCCGGGTGTAAGGTGGGGGCCTGGCGGGGGGCAGAGCACCTCCTGTGAAAAGCCCGGCCTTGACACAGTAGGACACTTGGCATCCATCACTGATGAGGGCTAGGTGTTGGCTGAAGCCCCCAGGACACTTTTTTAGAGAAGGTGCCCCCAAATCGTTGGCTATGGCAGAATTTACCAAGGGGTTTCCGACTGCACAGCTAAAGAACCCACCAAAGGGGACGGAAAACCTATATCCCAACTCATAGTCCTGAGAGGCACATACCTTGAGGTTTTCAAAAAGTCTCAGTGGAAAATAGCCAGCCGGGCAGGACTGTGCATTTGTCAAAGGGTTTATGCTCTTACCAGTGAAGAGGCCCCCGAAAAGCAGTCCTGAGTTTTCTGGTATTTGGCCACTCGCCACGCACCAAAAAGCCCTAAATTCAGCCTTTGCCACCCGGAACACATCTTCGCACACCGTCTTGCAGAAGATGAGGAGGGTGCATCTCCGTCGACACTCCAGGTGGTTGTAACCCTCCTCGTGGATCTGGGTCAGCAGGTGGACTGGGGAGTAGCCAGAGGGGCAGGAGAAATCACCAGTGAGCGGATTCTTCTGCTCCAAGTTTTGGCAGAGCTGGGCAACCTCCTTCCCTGAGAGCTGGGTGCATTCCTGATAAACTCCTCCAAAGGAAAAATTAGTCATTTTCCCCTCGCAAGAGCCATCATCAGTGTTGGCCTGAAAATTGAAGTTGGGCGAGTTGACATCTGTGCATCCAGGGTAGGTGTTGAACGTGTAATAATGCCTCACGGCAGCCTCCACCGTGCGAGACAACTTCTTCACCAAGGGCCCTGGCAACTCAGGCAGCATGTCGGGGTTGATGAAGAAATGCAGAGGCAGGCCATCGCGGTCTATGGCCACCAGGTGGTTGGTGATGCTCTGCTGCCAGGCCTGGAGGGTGATGCCTGGGTAAAAAGGAACCCCTCCGATGCTTTGCACCCTGGAGTTGGTTCGGTTTGAGAGATAGCTCTTGGTGAGGACGCTCTGCGATGTGTAGTTCTCCTCAAATTTGTAGTTCACGATGTTCATGAAGGCAATCCCAGCGGATGCGGTCACAGCAGTGTGACTGCTCTGGCTGTCCTGTAAGAATGAGGATCTGATGTGGTCTTCCTGGATGAGAGCAGCTCCAGCATCCACACTGGTGATGACATGGGTGCCATAGTTGAGGACCAGAAGCTCTGCCAGGTAGGTGGCCATCCGCGTCTGGTTGTTCTCCAGGCGGTCAGAGATGTCCATGAGCTCCTTCTTAAACCTCCAGCTTAGTTTTGAAGCTGAGTTGATTTTGACCGTGTAGATCAGGTTTCTTACCTGAACCCGGGTAGTTATAGCTTGGTCTTTCACTTGAAGGGTCTTCATCTTCTGGAAATCAGAGGAGAATTTGCCATTGACCTTGGAATAAAGGGAAAGCTCCAAGTTGATGGAGAAGGAGGTGCTGCTCTGGTAATTCACCCAGGACCCCAGGATTTCGGAGTTCATCTCTAGGTTGCTCTGTTTCTGGGCGATGCTGACGATTTCATCGGGGATGATGTACTGTCCATCCTCTGTGGTCCTGCAGCTCCTGTAAGTCAGGTCCATCACCCGTCCCATGTCCACATTCCGCAGGTTATCCCAGCCCCCTCCGGGTAAGACTTCTAGAACAGGTAGTTTTAAGGCATTCTTGCATTTTTGAAATCCAGCCTCATTTGTCTCTCCCAAAGGCTTGTCCGCTTTAGCGCACGCTACTACCGCCCAGAAGAGGATGGCACCCCCGAGGCCGTTCATGGCTCAGCCCCAACCACACGCCAGCCCTAAGTCGCAGCCAGCGAGCTTGGTGCAAACTGAACAGATGGGAAAGAAGGCAGCTGCTGAGACAAACACATACAACAGTTCTCCTCAAGCCACCAGTTCCTCTTTAGGCTAATCTCTGGGCAAAATAGGGAAATGAGAGTCTATCAGAATACTAAGGCCCATCAGGACTTTGAAGAAAATCATGTTGTCCTAGGTATGCAGACGCAGCCCTGTATCCTGAACAGGTAACCACCCTAACTGCCCCCACCGCCCCCCAGCCCCAGGCTAGTGACTGCAACAGCAGTGGGCTCTCAGAAAAAGGGCGACCACATGTCTTACTGCTTCCTTCACAGGAGATTTCCGGCTTTGAAAGAAACCTTTGGTTTCACGTTCTGCTCTGATGTTTCAAAGTTTCCTTGACGGCTCTCTCTTGGGACTCCAGTATCAGTTTCCTTTTACTGTAAATGCAGAGGTGAATGGCAACATCAGCATTACTGAGACACCGCGCCTCCACCTTACCTAGGCTCGCTGTAGGTCAAGGCCAAGGCCTGGGCTCCCATTCACCGGCGGGGGAAGGCAGTTCACACACGAGAAAGGAGGGGAAATCTTGGACATAAGTCCTGTGGAGCTCTACTGTCACAAGCCTAAAAGTCCAGGCTTTGGAGATGCCATTACCTGAGGCAGAACTGTAGAGACCTGAAGAGGACTCGGCTTTGCTGCACGCTGGAAACCTCAGTGTGTACTGTCCTCCGCATCCAGAGGCAAAGCCAGTGATCCGCACACTGTTGTTTCCTTCCATGCAGAAATGTTTAAGCAAAGAGAAAATCCACACTCTAATCTAGATTTTTGATTGATGAAAAGCAGACAGTGGCCCAGGAATATTTGTGTATGTATATACACACTTATACATCCTCTGTGTGTGTGTGTGTGTGTGTGTACGCAGTTGGCAATAAGTGGGTACCTGCTGTTACATCTTTAATTTTTTGTTCTGCTGCTAAGTTCATGTACTCATTATAGGTGGGTAAAAAAGAATGTGCCTCTTTATTACTCATTTTTTTAAAGCAACAATTCATTTGTTCTATCGTTAGGAGAACATAATTTCATGAATCTCCTTCTGTGCCTATTAGACCCCGTAATTTGGAAGAGTGTTTCCAGACCCATTGATCTAGCACAGGATTCATCGAAGCCCAGCTCCATCACTACTTTAAGACCAGTAGGGAGCATCTTAGTACATTCAGTGGTAGCCAAATAATCCAAAGCAATTAACGAAGCTCCCAATGGTACCCTCACGGCAACCCCCCATCTTACCACGAACCAGATACAGCGCTGAGGCTGAAAACATCATGTTTCCGTTTACATGTATCACGACACCATCACCTGTATGCAACCCAGGAAAAGTTCTCAGGGGACTGAATGGCGGCATATTGCCCCTGATGCAGTGACAGCTGTTTTCAGATAGAAATAGACCAGTTGTCCAGGTTCACAGGTGGAACTCACTCTTATTAAAACCTTGGTGACGTTCTGGGTTTATTCATGGCTAGGTTATCATGCATGGAGGAATCTACTTATATCAGGGAGGGATTAATGTATGAGCCAGTGTCCAGTTTATATTTGGCCAGAGAAGCAAGCCTGTGCATGGGATGTCCTGGCTAATTTATAAATGAGTTAGTTATAAATTTGTAGCTCAGTAGAGTGATTTGACCACTAGAAAAATTAGAGGTGAGTGCCCTCGAGTACTTCCAATAAGTCTATTAAAATCCCCACACACTCGTCAGACTCTCGCAGGGCTAGTTCATCATCACGAGAAAACCCTCACACTGACCCGGTTTTGGAGACATGCTGACAGTTTCTTACTTTTTGTTTACCTGTTAATAGATCCTGTTGCATTCTCACTCTTCTGCAATGAGAATAAAAGCAAGGCGAATATAGATCATTCTCTATGCAGGTGTTACTATATCTCTGAATGCACACAGTTGTCTTGTTGTTTGGACAGTCTTCTTCATTTCTACCATAGCAAAAAGTGGAAAATAGCTAAAAGAGCCAGCAGGAGTGCAATTATATTGCATCCATATGACAAAATATTTTACAGCCATCATAACTATATTTTCTTTATTTTATCTTTGTTTTATCTTGTAATTAGGTCTTTTTTAATTTTTATTTTTTTAATATAATGTTCAGTTAGCCAACATATAGTACATCATTAGTTTTTGATGTGGTGTTCAATGATTCATTAGTTGTGGATAGCACTGGGTGTTATACATAACTATATTTTCAAAAAATTTTAGTAACGTAAGAAATTCTTATGCCATAATGTTAAGTGATAAAAGCATGATAGACACTTAGTGTGACCCCCACCATGTACACATATATATCACAAGAGAGATATACACCAACTCATTGACAGCGATGGTATCCAGCTTGTAGGTTTTATAGATGATTTAAACTTTTCCCTCTCACTTTTGTATATTTTTGGAGTTTTCAACAAGGAGCATATCTTTACTCATCTGACACATTTTTAGTGAGAATCTACTAAGTAGCAAACACAGGGATGGGTGTGGAACAATCATCGCCTATGTACTCAGGAAAATAAGCAATGAAAATGCATTTTAAACACAAAAGAAACAAATTATTTTTGGAATTTTCATACACCTGAAATGATGTGAAGCCTGCGATTGCTGTGTTCAAGGAAGTTCTCTTTTCTATTCATGGAGAAACAATGAAAAGAGAAGTGTAGAATGATGGGAATTCCAGCACAACTTAAATTTGCATGCTACCGGCAGGAATTGCTGCTCATGGTGGTCAGGTGTGAGGAAGTGGCCATGAGACCTTGACTATGGGGGGGAGGGGGGGTCACACATTCCTTTCCTGCTTTATTCTGCTCACTGGCAACTTCCTCTGCTTTTTCTTGTGCTGAAATGCATATGCAATCCCAGAAACTCTCCAGATGGCTACTCTCAAGGGCCTAAAAACCAGAATGTTGGTCTCTAAAAGAAAAAGGCCACTTTTATGCAAAAGATATACCTCAGTGCTGCAAAAGTGTAATTTCACTTCCTCCAGAAACAGGCAAGAGGGAAGTCCCACGTCTGCTTTCTTTCTCAGTTTGAGCACGTGCAACCTTCTGAGCCAAACCATGATTCACGTGTGAGGTTCAGTTATGTGTGGGCTTGGAGCAGGTCTAGCTGTTTCCTGCTTCTGCATATCACCTGCGGTCTGACATGGGCAGGAAACCCTGGCTGTGTTTGCAGGGACCAATCCCTTTCTTATTTTTAGCAGGAATCCAGGAAACCAGTCAAATGGTCGCAAAATGGGTTGAGGAACAATATCTTTTATAGATTCTGGAATCAACTTGGTTCTGGAAAATCCAGGAGGTATCAGTTAACAAAGTGACCACATTTTCTTTTCTTGAAGAGTTGATTGCTAAGCTGATGTTTGGAGAGCTGCTTTGTCAAGCCCTTCCACTCTGAGACTGTTCTTCCCACCAGGATTGTTTGCATTCTGACCCCCAAAATAAGAACATTGTGGTTCCTTGAGTCCTTTTAACCTTGGTAAAAACAGAAGGCCCATGTGAAATGCCGCATATTCCCACTGAAAGCTAGGTCAGGATTTGCCAGCCTATGACATTTTTCTTCTTTTCTTGGTTAACACTTTTCCCTCCCCTCTTCCTCCCAATTTTGCTAATGCTTTTTCTCCTCATCCACTATTCCCTTTCTGCTCCTTTTTTTCTCTTTGCCATTTCCACATGTAGGTTTGAGGGACACGGTCTGTGGTGTAAGGTGACATTTTCACTGCAATAAAGAAGAAACAGTCACTGACTCTTTAGGTTGCACTTCCTTATTCCACGTCATGCAGACATCACTCATCAGTCATACCACTCATTCCTGCTGAGCTCTGAGGCTGCCTCCGTACCCTTCCCAGCACAGTTCTCCAGGACATTCTAATGAAAGCCTGATTCATCCACTCGTTAAATAAATACTTATTTTTTAAAATTTAAATTCAGTTAGCCAACATATATCATTAGTTTCAGAAGTAGAGTTCAGTAATTCATCAGTTGTGTATAATACCCAGTGCTCATCACATCATGTGCCCTCCTTAATGCCCATCACCCAGTTATCCCATCCCCCCAACCCACCTCCCTAAATACTTATTGAGCATCTATTATTTGTTGGGCACCCATTGTAGGTGCTATATTTGGATTAGTCAATACCAAATTTAATGCTCTTTTAAGAGTCTGGGTGACTGAGTGAGCCCTCAGAGCTCCCTTCCTTTTCCATCTCCTCTCCAATCTAAGCTCTGCGGAGACAGAGCAGTTAGACCAACCCATTCCCCCTCCCCATCTGCCTTTGGGGTTCCAAATGACATCAGTCTAATATGAAGAGTGCTTCTTGTATTTTCCTTTAGCTGAAAGCAGCTTCACATGAAGGACTTTGTACACAACAGGACTGGAAATACAGTGGGTTTCCTCTATGTCCTTGATTCTCAGTCCCCACGTCTTTCCTGTCATGTGACTTCCTCTTTGAGGAATAGCTGAACAAAAGAATTGACTGAGTGGCATTTGACCTCGCTGGGTCAACTGCTGGCAGATTTCATTTTTCTATATTTGTTTCATTATTGGATAACAAAACAGTCTAACATTCAATCTTTCCCTCCTTAACCACAGGATCTTCAGATGGGACTTTGAACAGAGACATTTTTCTTTCTACCTAAAATAATCATCAATAGGTTAGGGTAAAACAAGCTAATTAGGTGAGGTGGTTCTTCCAGAATTATTTGGAGTTGGGAGCCTTTGGGTCCTCCACTGAAATATTCCTATTGTCTCAGGAGTGCCTGGGTGGCTCAGTGGGTTGAGCTTCCAGCTCTTTGTTTTTGGCTGGGGTCATGATCTCTAGGTTATGGGATTGAGACCTGCACTGGGCTCCTTGCTCAGTGGGGAGTCTACTTGAGATTCTCCCTCTCCTTATGCCCCTCCCCCAATTGTGAACTCTCTTGCTTGCTCACTCTCTCTAAAATAAATAAATCTTTAAAAAAAGATATTCCTATTGTCTCTGCTTTTTTTGGTGATCTAAATGTGACATTAACAGCATGGGCTGGGTTGTGGGTCTATT